ACTAGTAATCCAGATTTGGTAATCTGAAAAAGTGTGTATCTGCATCAGGGTGATCTAATTCAAATTTTGCATTGAAAAACTGGCACAAAAGTAAGATGGTTTACCTAATCCTGGATAGTAAAACATGGGATTTCCAAATCCAGATCATTCTGATCCAGACTACATTTTTTGAACAACTGGCCCCTGAAGTTATATGGTTGTAAATGCTGGTGAATCAATTCTTGCCTTTTTATGCAAATACTGGTGTTGGTAACGGTACAGAGGTTCTCCATCCAGGAACATCTCACCCTCCTGTGGATCATAGAACCTTTGGAGCAAGCAGACGCAAGAGCTCTTCCCACCACCAGAGGGCCCTACCAATGCCGTCAGCTTTCCTGGACTCAATTCCAATGTAACAGACTGCAACAATTCAACAATGAATACATGCAAATCACATTAGTTCTATCTATGATTAGCTTTTCCGGAATGAACAAAAAACTTACCTTAAGTGCCATTTGATCAGGACGGGAGTGGTAGGAAAATGTGACCTTTTCAAAGGTTAGTCTTCCCTTAAGCTTCTCTGGAGCCAGATGGCCTGCCTCTTTCAACTGTGGCTTCCTATCGAGCAGCTGGAACACCTTCACTGCTGATCCCACAGTATTCAGCATGTCTCCATAGATATATAGAAGATGCTGAGAATATAATTATGCCCAGAATTTAGTCTCGTCTAAATGAAGGGTCATACTGTAAAATGTACCCGGTTTTGATCTTACCCTCATGTTGGTCACCATGTCCTTCTGGTAGAACACAAACGCAAGAAGGCTGCCACTGCTAAGCTGTCCAGACGAGATGAGATTTCGGCCTTGGAACAGCATTGCTACCTTCAAGCCAACTGTAATGAACTAAAATGCAATCCAAGAAGATAGCCATTTGTAGGAATCAACGAACTATAACACAATTTCTACTAAGGAGAACAGTGAATGCAACTTAGGACTGTATATGATTTACCCTGCGTATTAAGAGATGAATTGCACTGTAGACACCTTTACGCCTCAAAACTTGGAGCTTCCTGTTGAGAGTCTGTTCATATCGCTGCTGTTCCCGATGCTCTGCCTTAAAACTGCGCACAGTCTTCATCGACCCAATGACAGAAGACGCCAACTCTGTAGTCTCTGCATTACAGTCCTGAAGCTCTTTGGATGTTTTCTGATCAGGAAGGTAAGGGATTATGAATTCATTATGGTCTACCCCAAAATATTAGGATAGGCCGTAAGGAAAGACACAGGAATGAAAAGGAAACCAACTTGAGGAGGGTTACTTACCTGGGAAAAGTTGTTGTATGAGTTCTGAATGAAAGCAAGAAGTGGCATTTCAATGCATGTAAGGAGGGTTAACTGCCAGGACAGGCTCAGCATGAAGAACAGCATGCCGCATGTCTTCACCAGGCTTCGCAGTAACACATTCACATTCATGGCCACAGAACGTCCCATTTTATCAGTGTCAGAGACTAAACGTGATGTGAGACTACCTGTAAGAGAGAAAAAATTGTCATGATATTAAATAATGGCCTATATTATCACATATGCACAATTTTGTAGCTTTGTCTACTCTTAGAATAATACTCAAATATGCAGCAGAATGCAATCTCTTTTTAAATTTTTTTTACTTGGTATAAAACTTGGTGAAACTTGTGGCACTTCCTATGTGAACACTCAAAAACATAGTGGATATGATTAGAAAGGTGAAATGGTCTTCAAAAAATCTTCAAGTGTTCACACTTGTTTTCTTCATGTCGAAGAAATGTCACCCCATGTCACGGCCATTCTGTTTCTTTGTCTTGTTTAATTTTAGGGGCTGTTTACACGACACATTTTCAACTGAAAACTTTTTGTGCATTTTGGCTGTTCATTTACGGGACAACTGTGTTTTGGGGGCCTGAAAACGCAAATAAAAAAAATGTGCTTCAAAGTGCAAATTTGTGAAAACGGTCATGATCAATACGCCATTTCATGTTGCATACAATTGGCAAGTCAGTAGACATAGGTCGTAGCATTAAACACACTGTGAGATGATCAAGGTGAATTTCTGACACTATCAGAAATGTATCGCAGGCTAAAAGGTCGCAAGACCGTGACAACGGCTGTCTTTGAACATCTCTCACTGTACGTTGTAGGACCACCGACCACAGAAATCACCACGATTGGTCATCTTTCGTTTGGGACAGCTCAAAATCATACAATGTGCACCTGGCATAAGCCTTCAGTTCTCTTCTGTACTTTGAACCTATTCAGTTTGACACGAGTACAAACCCCAGAAACATTTTTCTCGCCAACATCTACAAGAAGCAGTTCTATGACTTTGGGTGTTTTTAAATTGCAGTGCTTGTAGTGTTAAATATTCATGATGAAACAGAAGTAGCATTAGGTCTTCCGCATTGTGAAGCACATGCGAGTGAAATGAATTATCGAAAAAGTAAAAATGTAGGGCGGGGACTTGATTCTAAGCATTGGTTGTTGATTGGATTTTAAGATGTGGGCTTTGCACTCAAAAGTACAGGCTTTCCTGGGTCAGGGTTTAAGTGTACTTAAAGATTGGAGTCCTGCATACGTCACCAGAGGGAAGTCTGTTGTTTTCACTGAAAGGTCCAGTTATGACATTCTTATTACATATTACAAGGTCAAAAAAGAAACACATGAGATCTATAACATGCATTTATTAAAATAGATGGGGTGAATTTTCATTTAATCTGCCCTATTTACATAGAAAGACAATTAGTGCTAAACTTCAACTTCCAAAGTGTAGGAACAGGTATCATACCTGGTTTATTATCTTCAAAGAAGCTTATCTCCTGCTTCATGAGGTTCTGGAACAACCGGTGTCGGATTCTCTTGTTGAGTCTGCAGAGGCTACACATGAACATCCCACCGCGCAGACCAGTGAACATAGAACTAAAGACACAATAATTTAACATTTTAATTGCGAGAAACAAAACCAATTTGTACACAAAGACATTAGTTTTTAGTACAATTTTTGCATTGGATTGATGTTACACTGACCTTCCAAGTGAACACAGTGCCATGAGTCCAATGGCCCATAAGAAATTGTTGTGCTGGTACTTTCCACTCAGTATGTCAATAACTTTCCCAATGCAGTATGGGATGAATGTCTCAACTACAAAATAAAAGGTATTACTATGGATCTAGTTTACAATAGTTTATTCTATGATAAAAGATTCACTGAAATCAGGATTTAGATTTAAAATCACAGACTAATTCTGACAATATTTTAGTTTCCTCAACCAGGAAAAACACTCACAAAGCGCCGCCAGGGTGAGGAAGAGGAAGGCAGCTCCTAGATGAAGATAGTCTGGCCTGGAGTAGCGGATGACCCTCATTAGGAGTGCTCTGGCCTCTTCATCTTTCTTCTGGTTCCTGGAACCCTTAGATGGTCCACCGTGTGGGAAGGCCATCTCCCACACCATATATATGAGAGTAGATGTAGCAGTGCTCAGGATCACCATGCCAGGATCAGGAACAGGACTAAAGCCTCTCCCAGTCCAGTGAAGCATTGTCTGAATGCTATCAAACAAAGGAGGTAGGAAGCTCAGTAGGGCTATCCAGCGCTTCAGGAGAGGCTGACTGCTGCTGTCAGAGACATGTGTGATTACTGAATAAAGCACAACGTAGCTGATGGTCCTGAGAGCCCACAGGCACCGTAGATCCAGACTGCCCTCTCCATCCAGCCACAGCAGTGCTATCCACACAAAAGCCCAGATGACAAGATCACAGCACAACACAGCAGCATGTTCTGCTGCAGCTCTGGGTATGGGGTAGGCCTTTGAGATCATATTAAAACTGAGAAGACAAAAAGGAATCAGATAAACCAGACTAGAATGGTTATATAGCCCAGTCACATTAGTCTTTTGGTTGGTTTTAGCTGTTGGGCACGTTGGTCTCTTCGTCTGACCAACTATCCCAAAACCCATTTAAATCTGCTAAGACTAGCAGGTTAAGGATGTTTTTAGTAGCAATAATCTTCTCAAGTACTTTTAAATATATTGCATAAGCACTAAACATTATAAAGTTTTAGTTTTCTTACCATTAGTTGTTCTCGTTGCATTTTGTCGGAGGATCACTTTTGGTTTCACTTTCACATGTGGGCGCCGTCAAAACTGTTTTTTTTTTTTTCAGGTCAGTGCGCATAAGAATAGTAAGAATCGACTTAGAAAATAGTGGGATTAAGCTTATAGTTTGTTTAAAACGAGGCAGCCTCGGTGTGCACAAAACGTTTTTATCTCAATTAGCTACTGTACGTAGTGCGTATGGCGGATCATGACGTACTACGCCTCCCCGGTCACGCTCGTTTGTTTTTCAAGTGGCCAACAGAGAGCGCTGTTTAGAGAATATATTAAACTAATCCTGTCCTCCTTTCACGAAAGTGCAGCCCTTTTCTCTGAGCATACTGTGTAAGTAAACAAGGATTTTAATATAGAAAATGTATTATTATAGGCATTTTCTAAACACATTAACATCAATATTGTAAGTTTTGTGTATGTGTTTTATCGCTATGCCATGCCTTGGGAAGTATAACTAGCCTAGCGTGCATGCTATGCAGAATGTAAGTTGTTAACACTTAAAATTCATTATTTGTCTAAGCTTTAAAACATGGCACCAAAAAACATTTCTCCAAGCATTAAACATAACGTGGGTACAGGTTTACCTAGAAAAAAAGAAAGCCAAATTATAATTCTGCTTGTTTATTGATAGCAAAAGAAAAAGCAGAGCATTTTTCTGCATACATCTTAGTTTTATATTTAAATTGAGTATAGAAATAAACTCTTTATTTGTAGTAAATACTTTATATTACACATTGTGATATAAATTTTACTCTCTCTCTCTCTCTCTCTCTCTCAAGGGGCTCACAGCCCTTTAAGCTTTTAGAAGTTGGTCATTTGCTTTGGTAAAGTAACACAATAACAGAGCAACTACAACAAGAGAATTTACATATAAATCAGCACAAAGTGAGATGTGACACTTTTTCTGTTCAGCAGTAAATAATAATTCAAGACACTCAATAACAATGGGCCCTTTGTACAAACACAATCTCATTCAGTAAAATCCTTGAACCTAACAAACACCCTAGGCACATATTCAAGTTTTCTCATACCCAAGCACTCACTGAGAACAGGAAAACTTGAAAGTCTTTGTTTTAAATGTGTCTTGGTTAAAGAGGATTTGTGCTAAGTTGTACTGAGAAAACTTTAAGAGCCCACGTGGAATAACAGCAAAACTATTTTCTCCATTTATTATACAGTAGGCTACTGAATTTGTAGAGACATTAGACCAACAATCTTCCAATAAGGGTCAGGTTTGTCAGTGCATGGGTCTTATGACACAAATGATGTATAAAACAACACAGTGTAATACAGAAGTTTGGGGTTGGTAAGATTTTTTTTTTTTTAAAGAAAGCAATACTTTTATTCAGCAAAGATGCATTAAAAGCGACACTGATGACATTTATATTGTTACAAAAGATTGAAAATGTCTTTCAAATAAATGCTTTTCCTTTGAACTTTCTATTTATTATAGTATACAGAAAAGTATATCACTGTTTCCACTAAAATATTAAGAATAAGATAATATTAAATAATAATAAATGTTTCTTGAGCACAAAATCAGCATATTAGAATGATTACTGAAAGATCATTGACGACTGGAGTAATGGCTTTGCCATCACAGGAGTGAATTTCAAAATATATAAAAATAGAAAACATTTTATATTGTAATAACATTTCACTATATTACTGTATTTTTATCAAATAAATGCAGCATTGGTGAGCATAAAAAACTTCTTTCAAAAATCTTACCAACCCCAAAATGAACAGAGGTGTAACTGGTGAAAAATGAAGGAAATTAATATTAAGGGCATGATATGAAAAAATTCCTGACTTCAAATAGCTTAATTTCCTGGGCAAATAACGGCAACGTTCTGTCATTTTAGATTAAGAATGAAGAAGCGTTTATAATATTTTCTTGAATTAAGCATTAACAGATGGCATTGTTTCGCCATGGCATATACTGTATAAGGCAAACCAGTGATGTGAAACCAGGATCTTTACAAATGCAAGTGTCATAACCCAAAGTACAAAACAACCAGGGTTTGACACTCGCTGAAATGATACAGTTATAAACAGCGCATTCTATGATACCAAGAAATGGGGTAATATATTGTACCTGATATGGATCACAATTACAAAAACATAAATAACTCCGATCCAGGTCATACATTTGTGATGTTTTATGCTTCTGATGATGCGTTATTTGTCTTGTCCCCATCTGTAGGCACACTGCTGTACTGGCAGTCTGTGGACATATTGATTGCAGGTTTAGCTGGAGACCCAGACGCTGGTAAACTGTTCTTCAGGGCTGCATCACGAGAGTCCAGCCAGTAAAAGGAAACCATCAGGAAAAGAGCTGATAAGGCCACTGAGATGCTGCAGGCCAGGAACATGTACGTGTACTGTTCGGTTCTGTCCACAAGCATTCCTGTAACACAGGTACAGAGATATGATAACATTTAACAGTTCCTTTCATATCTAGAGAAGTAAGAAACAAAACAAAACAAAACTGTAAATTAACCTATACACTCCTGGTCACAAGTTTGGAATTTCTTCAAACAGAAATCACGATTATCATACAGTTCAGACAACTGAACAAAATAACATGAACTTTCCTGGAGGTTCTGACAAAATGTTATTCTCTTCTGTCTATTTGAAATGTTTAATTAATCTACAACCGAATTCCAGAAAAGTTGGGACGTTTTTTAAATTTGAATAAAATGAAAACTATAAGACTTTCAAATCACATGAGCCAATATTTTATTCACAATAGAACATAGATAACATAACAAATGTTTAAACGGAGAAATTTTACACTTTTATCCACTAAATGAGCTCATTTCAAATTTGATGCCTGCTACAGGTCTCAAAATAGTTGGGACGGGGCACGCTTACCATGGTGTAACATCTCCTCTTCTTTTCAAAACAGTTTGAAGACGTCTGGGCATCAAGTTTATGAGTGTCTGGGCATCAAGTTTATGAGTGTCTGGAGTTTTGGTGTTGGAATTTGGTCCCATTCTTGCCTTATATAGGTTTCCAGCTGCTGAAGAGTTAGGGTCGTCTTTGACGCATTTTTCGTTTAATGATGCGCCAAATGTTCTCTATAGGTGAAAGATCTGGACTGCAGGCAGGCCAATTCAACACCCGGACTCTTCTACGACGAAGCCATGCTGTTGTAATAGCTGCAGTATGTGGTTTTGCATTGTCCTGCTGAAATACACAAGGCCTTTCCTGAAATAGACGTCGTCTGGAGGGGAGCATATGTTGCTCTAAAACCTTTATATAGCTTTCAGCATTCATAGTGCCTTCCAAAACATGCAAGCAGCCCATACCGTATGCACTTATGCACCCCCGTACCATCAGAGATGCTGGCTTTTGAACTGAACGCTGATAACACGATGGAAGGTCTCCCTCTTCTTTTGCCCGGAGGACACGGCGTCCGTGATTTCCAACAAGAATGTCAAATTTGGACTCGTCGGACCATAGAATACTTTTCCACTTTGAAATAGTCCATTTTAAATGAGCCTTGGCCCACAGGACACGGCGGCACTTCTGGACCATGTTCACATATGGCTTCCTTTTTGCATGATAGAGCTTTAGTTGGCATCTGCAGATGGCACGGCGGATTGTGTTTACCGACAGTGGTTTCTGGAAGTATTCCTGGGCCCATTTAGTGATGTCATTCACACAATCATGCCGATGAGTGATGCAGTGTCGTCTGAGGGCCCGAAGACCACGGGCATCCAATAAAGGTCTTTGTCCTTGTCCCTTACGCACAGAGATTTCTCCAGTTTCTCTGAATCTTTTGATGATGTTGTGCACTGTAGATGATGAGATTTGCAAAGCCTTTGCAATTTGACGTTGAGGAACATTGTTTTTAAAGTGTTCCACAATCTTTTTACGCACTCTTTCACAGATTGGAGAGCCTCTGCCCATCTTTACTTCTGAGAGACTCTACCTCTCTAAGACATCCCTTTTATAGCTAATCATGTTACAGACCTGATATCAATTAACTTAATTAGTTGCTAGATGTTCTCCCACCTGAATCCTTTCTAAATTTCTTGCTTTTTCAACCATTTGTTGCCCCCGTCCCAACTATTTTGAGACCTGTAGCAGGCATCAAATTTGAAATGAGCTCATTTAGTGGATAAAAGTGTAAAATTTCTCCGTTTAAACATTTGTTATGTTATCTATGTTCTATTGTGAATAAAATATTGGCTCATGTGATTTGAAAGTCTTATAGTTTTCATTTTATTCAAATTTAAAAAACGTCCCAACTTTTCCGGAATTCGGGTTGTAAATTTATTTTTTATTTTTTACAGTTTGAATGACTGATTCAATGACTCACTCATAAAGACTTACTGTTTATATCCGAACTATAAATTTATAGTTCGGATATAATATGAATAATATGAATATTTGCAACACAGAAATAACGATACGTGGTTGAAAAGACTGTTTGTGCAGCTTTAAGACCTTATGTAGCCCCACCCCATTTTTTCCTAAGATAAGGTAAGCCAAACATAATGTGTATTACTGTAGTAGCACTCCAAGGTGCTAGGTTGTGCTTGGCTCAACTAATAATGACATTTCTGTGTGAGAAAGAGCCAGTTAAGCTTGACCAGATTGAGAACACAGCCTCCGCTCCCACCAACAGGCAAATCCAGATTAGTGCTGTTACAATGGAGAAGACATGCCATTCTTTACTCAAACACAGGCACAGACTCCCTCACAGATAGTTACACAATCACATATGTTTCATTCTATATCATAGTGATTTATTCTTTATACTGCAAGAATGGTTGGGATGGGAATGCCTTGAACATTTTTTTTATGGTACTTTACTTTGACAGGAAGGTTGAGACATGACAGGAAATAATGTTCATTTCCTGATCCAAGCAAGATCTGATCTTGGGTTAAGAGCAGTTGGATTTTTAGGTAAACACATTATGTGTTCATACTTTTTTTACATCAAGGTTTTAGGGTAAAATTGTTATGAATGTGTAACAAAGTCTATTTTGTAGGTACTGGTCACTATTTCTTCACTAAATTTCCGTAAATTTAGTTTATTTTGAAATAATAAATATAAACGACAATAAAAGGCATATGGTCATACAACTATAGAGGATGTTCAACTAAAAAACAAAAATTCAAATTTCAAACTTTAGAAAAAAGTGTAACTTTTTTTTTAAATAGTCCTGACTTTACTTAAAAGTCAAGCTGTTTGTAGAGTTGAGTGCTGCAGTTTGAAATAATAAAATAAACTTAAAGGGATACTTCACCTCTGGAAAGATGAATGTGTATTTAAAATGGGTCATTTATGTAGAAGAAATGTGAAATTATTTTTGAATTTGGAGCTTTCTAGACTGAGAAAAGCCAGAAAATGTATTTTTAGCTTATGTGGATGAAAGACAACAACTCCCAGAATGCACTTGCTTCGCTGCCCTAGGTGGCCACGCCTACCGGTAACAGAGTGCAGTAGTTAAAGTGTAACCACCACAACCAATTAATGTGTAAATTAAAGTGCTCAATGTGTATATATGTAAAAAAAATCTGTCTTAAAATGCGTTAAAATAACATTTATTGGGGTTTCTTCAAAGGTAGCATGTTTTTTACCGTAACTGGGTGATGACGTCATAAGAGGGAGCGCGGGCGGTAATGCACTCACTCTGTGTGTGCCGGAGAATAAAACGATTCGCGGGACTCCCGCAAACTAGAAATATCTATGAATAAAACATAAAAATGAATACATTTTTATTCATCTGTTGCAGAAAAGCAATAAGAACAACTAAAACAAAATAGAAACGGTTTACAGGCAGAGTTTCTATTTCTAACATGTCTGCAGCGTTGAGCGATGTAGCCAATCACAGACATGTGTTGATTTCTTGAACGCAATAATGGCCAATCAGAAGCATTTACGATGGACTCCCCTCACCGCTCAAAACTGACTTTTTGTTCAGTGCTGAATTCTGTATGCTGGCAAATCCTCTAATTATAACAAATATAGTGTATATATTATGAAAGATTCATTGATAATAACAGAGATGTGTGAGATCGCGATGAACTGATGTCAGCTTTTTAGGAATTATTATGGGAGCGCACTTTGCGCGCAGTCATGCCAGACCATGCACGCAGTAGCCCGCTTGCTTTTATGTTATAACAGTGATCAGGAGCATGTATGCTGATGTGTATGGCGGCGACACATAGGCTAACTTGAAAGTATTTGGAGGTACAGAAAAAAAGTCTTTTTGCGGGCGGGAGCGGGACAAAACATAAATGTTGCGGGCGGGAGAAAGTAATATAGAAAGTAGTTGAGAACGTCAGTTTTAACGACCCACGTATTAAAAAATATTCGGGTTTAAACCGGGCTCATAATTACAGTTAATGTGTCGGGCAGGGCCGGACCGGGCTCGGACACAGCGGGCTCGGGTAGGGTCTTGCTTGATTTTTTTGGGCCCGATCTAAGCTCTACCTCGGGTAAGTTATGCTAACACTTACAGGCACGAATCAGCCGTATGTCCTTGGGGAACTTGTGGAGCCTCTCCCCAGTTTTTGATGTATTCGTACATCCCGCACAAACACAATAGTTAACCATTTTTGCTAGCTAGGTCTCCAATATAACGTAACTCCAAGGCCTGGAGCATAGACAGTAAAAGCTTGGAGTACCTTTTATGACGTCACGCCCAGCCTAGTGGAAGGGAGGGGGCGTGCTTAAAACCACTGTAAAACGCACCAACTTTTCATATTATATTCAGCATTTTGGTATAAAAAACATAAAAAAAACAATGGTGGGCGGTTCTTATCTTTATGTTTAGTAAGCACATTGCATTATCTTCGTGAAAAATGTTACCTGCAATTTACACTTTAAACAACAAGTCTAGGCTACTAGTGAGTCTCCGTGATGAGTCTGCCCGGGATTTCGAGATCGCCCAAAATGTCCGGGATTCGGCTTTTGCGTTCTACAGTCGCCATTAATTATGTTTACTGTGGCGAGCAGGACGAGACTGAGGGCCGCGGGAGAACTACGCGAGGCCGGTGGCGTGATTACTGACGAGCGACACCTGTGAGACCATAGACATCATGATGTCTATGTGTGAGACGCACCGGTCTCGTATCTCTCACGGAGGAGCGGGAATTTTCTTAGCAATGTTAAAACGCACATCAACCGATCACTTGTTTAGCGTTCATGTAAACACTACATTCAGATTCACCAATCGGAATGAATTCAGTTAGATTGAAACAAAAGGTGTGCATGTAAACAATGGGCAAAAGCTGAATCCAGGACATTTTGTACGATCTCGACGGCCAGACATGTCCAGGAAAAAGAGGATGGTAACCCCTACTACTCAGCTTTCTCCTACTAAGTTACTCAGCTTTCTCCACAGAACAAGAGCCTGCTAGCTTAGCTTCCAAAAAAAGATGGCTGACACTGTGTACATTTTGTGAGTGAGATCCCACCCTCTATGGGCGGGTTGAGAACATGCGGGACAGCCTCTACTACTGGCTGTAGTCTTTAGCCTCTGGCCAAAAAATCCTCCGATGACGCAAAATGAGATTTTTCGGAGGATTTTTTCCAGACAAAAAAAAATACATAAATCTCTCGTCCCAAGGGGATATGAGGGTGGAAAGCACGGTAATTTAAAAATACTACAGGTTTCCTACTAATACAAAGCTTAATGCTAAATCCTGAAGTATCCCTTTAAAATACAAATAAAAAAAGATGTATATAGCACCTTTAGCAATAAAGCATAATAAAGTGTCTCACAAATCATATATTAAAAAATAAAACACATTCACAAGTCAAGTCATCTTCATTTATATAGCGCTTTTAACAATGGAGATTGTTTCAAAGCAGCTTTACAGAGATAAACATACAATTTACGGTAACAGAGATTGTTTTGGCTTTATAGCGATTTTTGAATAATATTATTTCCAGCTAAAGTTAGTTTTGATTGATTCACTTCCAGCAAAATTATCATTTGTTATTACATTAGGGGCCACTAAGACGACGGCCGTTCTCTCTAAACAGACTTTAAAGGTGACCTATAATTCAAAATTGAATTTACCTTGGTATAGTCAAATAACAAGAGTTCAGTGCATGGACATGACAGAGTGAATCTCAAACTGGACTGTTTTCGCGTTCTCATTTAATTCACGTTTATGAAAAACACCCCTGAAAAACGGTCGGTTCTCCACACAATACCGACTGTGACGCAATAGTCGGGATCATTAATATGTACGCCTCCAAATATTGCATAATGCCAGCCCTCAATGCCAGGTGGAACTGCGCAGCCGAAGCATGGCAGTTGCTCAGTGTGGATGTACACATGAACACAAAAGTATTTTTTAGTTCCTTCATCTGAGCCTCTGAAGAAACAATGGGTTAATTTTATTTTCTCTGGAAATGTCCAAACATTTCACCGACTGTTTCCTCAATTTGGGCCAATACAGAGCTGGCCTCGGATCGAGCTACCAAGCAACACTTTCTGATGTGTAATTGTTCAAGTTCAGACAGGTAATCTTTCTCTCAAAATCGTTCAATACTGTTTATGCATCAGTAAGTCAAGCCAGTGACTAAAATATCAGCTTCACATCGTTTCTTTTAGTAGGATGAAAATAATCGTATTTAAATTGTGAACAAATTATATACAGAAAGCGATCAAAGAACAATCTTTCCACACAGCGCGAGTTTATCTGGACACTTGCCAAACTCGTTATGAAATCAATGACGCACGTTACTGCACAACGAAGCTCTTACTGTATTTACATGATCGTGTTTGCATTGGTGAAAGCAGAGAGAGTGCAGAAACAGCTTTGCAATGATAAGATCTTCATTCTCGCGATCAACACACTGTCATCTGCTCAATGCTCATCACGGCAACATTTTATGTGATGGGAATAGATCTAAATACTTTAAAAACATCTCACGATCCGTTAATCTCGATAGCTGTTATAGTAAAAACGTATAATAGCAGTAATAAAAGTATTCGGGAGAGAGTTTCACATGTAATGCGTAGCTATTTCATATGCAAGCATGTCAGCCAATCACAGCAGTGGCCGCGGTTACACTGAATCCCACAGCAGACACGCCCCTTCAAACAGAGTGTTCAAATCAGACGCTAAAAGCAGGCTAGGAAAAATGCCATTTATTTTTTAAATTATGATTATTTTTTATCTAAAAAACATACTAACATTATAAGGGTAACCCAGGAAACATTATAAAATAATAAAAAAAACATTCTAGGGCACCTTTAAACACGAACCTGTGACCTGATGGCGTTCACATGCGCATTAAAAATTGATTCTATAGTTATATTCGTTTGAATTATGTGCGCAGGTTTGTAATTTCCCTACAAACCATGCCTTAAACTACTTGTCTTGCCAATACATTTGATAAAGAATTTAGTTTTATTTTATCACTTCAGGGTACGCGAACCGGATTTTCAACAACGCTTTATCTGTAGAGTGGGAAAGGGATCCTCCATAGGGAGAGGATAGTTGACACTTCAGCACTGCATTGTCATCGGGTCCAGGCGAATCTATGTCTATGAAATCTATGAGTCTATGAAAAATAAGTTAAACAAGATTTAAAAAGAGACCGATTTAGCAAATCTAAATGGTCAAGTGTTATGACAACTGAAGTACAAATAAGTAAAATGGGCTCACAATAAATATTAGGTCATAAAGCTGAATGCACAATAGCTATAAATGCAGTTTACTTTCCAACTCTCCAAAAGTATTTCAGGTCAACCACCTTTTACTTTACAAAATGTTTTGTTTATCAGGGGTGTTGTTGCTAGACCTGAATGCCTAATGATGAAAAGCTAGAAACGCCCCTGCTATATCTATGGAAACTATACTTGTTGTCTCAAGTCTAGGGCAGGAACAAATGTTGAAATACCAGCGAGACCACATTTAAAATAGTCCCTGTCTGTTTTCAATGGATGGTGTCTGGATTTTAGATGCCTGTTTGTGCATTCAAGCTATGTCGAAATGACCGTATTTATGAGCTGAACAAACACGAACGCAGACATCCCAAACTGAAAGAGAGGGGGGGGGGTTTGACTGGATTGTTGGGGGGGGGGGGGGTGACAGCTTTCATGAGGCACACAAGCAAGGTCTCTCGCTCTCTCCCTCTCTGTCATGCGCGCGCTACACCATTTGGAGCACAGTATGTTCTTGTCACGGTAGACGTATTCGCTGGTTCCTTCTAGTCTTGTGTTTATGTTGTTGTATGAGTGCACGTGTGCAAGGGGCGTGTCTGTATGTCATTACCTGATCCGCTCCAGCTGTTCATCATTACAATCACCAGCTGCAGTTCATCTCACCACGCTTCATAAACTCACCGCTGTTCTCTTTCTCTTGAGAATCCATTCTTCGGATACTATGGTGAATAAATTCCTCGAGTGAGGATGACGAGGCGCTCGCTGCTTCCATTCCTGGGTCAGATCGTTCTGTCATGCTGAACTGATCACAGGAAGCAATCGCGAGTATAACAGTTTATTTTAAAGCACAAACACACAAAGTCCAGGACACAGTAAGCCAGTTGGTGAAAGGTGACGCAGGGACTTCGATGGTCAAATCCGGTGAAGTGAAGACAGACGGTGAGACGACCCAAATCCACACGGAAGACGACGAACAGGAACACCAGGCAGGAACACGAACCAGAAGACAAGGAAACATCAAACAACGATCTGACAAAGATGAGAGAACAGCGGTGAGTTTATGAAGCGTGGTGAGATGAACTGCAGCTGGTGATTGTAATGATGAACAGCTGGAGCGGATCAGGTAATGACATACAGACACGCCCCTTGCACACGTGCACTCATACAACAACATAAACACAAGACTAGAAGGAACCAGCGAATACGTCTACCGTGACAGTTCTGTCTCGCATGCGCGCTCTAGATTCCAGGAGATTTGAGCTAATTTCCGGGCATCAGGGAGACGCTATCAATATGCGGGAGACTCCCGGAACTTCCGGGAGACTTGGGATGTCTGCGTGGGAACGGCCGTATTTTAACCTCTCTCACTGTACGATCTAGGACCACCGTTTAGGAGCCATGACCACCACAGAAGTCACCACGATTGGTCATCTTTCGTCTGGGACAGCCCAATATCGTACAATATGTACAGGGGATAAGAAAAGGTACACCACCATTTTGCATCGACAAAAGTGACTTAAACGTACCTGACGTCGTAATTACGACTCTCCAACGCTTAAATATGAACTTCCCAGGAGGACTTGAACACACCTCATTTGAGTCGTACATACACATGGCAGTGACATGGTGCTGTCGACCGACACTACACATAATTCAAAATACAAAGTTTTCTTGTTACCTGCGAGGGGAGGTCCTATCAGCAGTGTGACGCTTTCCATGATGGACAGCAGGCCGAGCGCAGACGGGAATAGACTCATATCCACTGTATCCATCAGGACGGTGAACATCAGTGACCCTACCACGCTCATGGACAGTCCGTATATCAGCACGTAAATTAACAGCACATTGAAATTGTGAGAAATGCAGCAGATACTATTACTGAGTCCATTTATTAGAAGTGCGGCTGAGAAAACGTAGATGTGTCGACCTTTAAACCAGGAAAGGCTGAAGAGCACTCCGGCGGGAGGCCGCACAAAGATGTTGACAAAGCCTAGGATGGAAAGAAGTAGGGCGGCTCGGCTTGGATCCCCTTCGTGAGATGATGCATAAGGGACCAGGAAAATAAGTGGCACCACAAACCCCAGCATCATCCAAGTGATGCCCAATGAAAACACCCGAAATCGCAGGTTACTGTAGAAGAGGTCAAAGGCCATGTGTTTTCTGAGGCACGATGCTAAACTCTGACAGATTCCCAGCACACCTGCCTTTTTGCCTGGGGGTCTGGGACTGTTGGTCATCATCTCTAACTTTTTGGGCTTGCGAGGCCTGAGCGGTCTCATAACGGCTCCACAAACACAGCAGTTGAGCAGCACAGCACCAAGCACCAGAAAGCTTCCTCTCCAGCCCAGCTTGCTCTGCAGATAGTCACCTAAAAAGGGCAATGCACACAGACCCAGAGCAGTACCAGTGGAGGACATCGCATTGGCAAAAGGACGACGGCGCACAAAGTAGTGGCCAAGAATGGTGACAGCGGGCTGGAAGCTGAAACAGAAGCCCAAACCTGTAAAACAAACAGAGGGTCATGCATTATATAGAACTGACTGATGGCTTACAAACTTGCTAACTGAATTACAAACTACAAAACAAAACTGAAGTTCATTGTACTAAATAATCATCAATGAATAATAAATACATACAATCTGTAACTGTAGATACGTGAATGTAAATAACACATTTAGTTACGATTAAACAATATGATAATCAATATTATATTATATAATAATTAACAATCAATCAATTAATAATATAAAATAAATTATCATGTATTAATTACTTGTCAACTACCAGAGCTGTAAATGTAAATACATTTATTTATTATTTATTTAATTAATAATAATAATATTTATTAATGACCAAATATTTCATTCGATTAAAATGTAATTGAATGTAATATTAAATATTTAATTAATATTTATATTATTTATATTTTTATTTATTTATATTTATATGTATTTATCATTTACATTTATTTTGCCGCTTTATGCTACAGTACATCCATTTTTAATATTTGGAACTATTTTTGTGGGTGGTCATTTTAATAAAACACATAATTAAAACAGCATTCGCACTGGCAGTAGTGGTGTTGTACTGAATGCCTGTAGCCAAATAACAGCCATGCTGATCATAAGCAGGATTCTTGTGTGCTCAAGAAAATTCTTATTCATATCAGGTCAGACGGTAAAGCGCTTAGCGATAACTCTTTATATAATCACAATGACGTTTATGTAATCACTGCTGTTGCTCTTTCATATACAGATCAAGCAAGATGTCATAATCACTCCCTCTGGGGACTTACTGACCTGTGATGACCCCAGTAGTGATGTACAAGTGAACTATTGAATGTGAGAAAGAGCTGACCGCCATCCCCAAACCACTCAGCATTCCCCCAAACATTACTGTCGCCCGGCAACCGAAGCGCTCCACCAGCACACTGCACAGAGGACCTGGAAGAAAAATGCTTACAGTAAAAAAAAAAAACTTTCATTTGAGATGGCTTACTCATTTTCAACAACCAGCTACTCAAAACACCACCAATGAACTGCCTTGTTCAAATATCAACATACAAGTAATTGACACATGGCAGTTTAAGAGGTACACTTAAGTGTGTGTAATAAAATGTTGGATCTAGCTGTTCCTCTTTTTTTATTATGACTATGACTGTTACAATGACTACCGCTATAAGGGTATGATAAGGGTATGACAAATACTTTCGCAAGGCACTGTATATTAGATCCAACAGACATGGTAATTAAAAGTCATTATACATTATACTTTTAATTACCCTGTCTGTTGGATCTAATAAACCTCTTAAAAAAACTTTTTTCCTCACATCAATCTACACTCCATACACCATAATGACAAAAAAACAGATTTGTGATAACTTTGTACAATTATAAAAAAAAAACTGAAATAATTACATTGCATAAGTATTCCTACCCTTTTTTGGGATAATTGAAGTTTAGCTCAGGAACATTCAAATGTCACTTGTAGATGTCACTAAATTTTGAGTGGAGTTATCCTATGGCATATTAGATTGAATGGTATGATTTGGAAAGGCACACATCTCTCAATGAAAGGTCTAACAGCTGAGAATGCATATCAGAGCAAAAACCAAACCACAAGGTCAAAAGAACTGCCGGTAGAGCTCAGAGAAAGGATTTTGTCAAGACACAGATCTGGAAGAAAATTCTGCTGCATTGAAGGTTCACAGAATCATGTAGCCTCCATAATCCCCAATGGAAGAAGATGTGAACAAGTAGGACTCTTCTTAGAGCTGGGCTCCTTGCCAAACTGAGGAATCAATGGAGAAGGGACTTGAGTGGTGACCAAGAAGTTGATGGTCATTCTAGTTGAGCTCCACGATCATATATGGAGATGGGATAAACTCAAACATCACTGCAACACTCCACTTATCTACTTTATGGCAGAGTGGCCAGACTCAAGCCTCTCCTCGGTGAAGACACATGAAACCCCACTTGGAATTTGCAAAAAGGCACCTAAAGGACCCTCTCAAACTCTCTGGTCTGATGAACCTCAGTTCCAAGCATCATGTATGGAGGGAACCAGGCACTGCTCATCACCTGCACAGTACCATCTCAACAGTAAAGTGTGTGGTAGAAGCATCATGCTGTGGGGGTGTTTTTCAGCTGCAGAGACTAGGGGACTCGTCAGGGTAGAAGGAAAGCCCAACGCAGCAAATATAGAGATAGCCTTAATGAAAACCTTGTCCGGAGCATTCAGAGCCTCAGACAGGGCAGAAGGTTCACCTCCCAACAGGACACCCTATGCACACAGCTAAGACAATGCAAGAGTGGCTTATGGACAACTCTGTAAATGTCCTTGAGTGGCCCAGCAAGAGCCTGGGCTTGAACCCAATCAAACATCTCTGGAGAAACCTGAAAATGGCTGTCCACCAATGGTTCCCATCCAACCTGACAAAGCTTGAAAGGATCTGAGGAGAAGAATGGCAGAAAATCGAAAATCCCCAAAAGATTTGAGACTGTAAAGGTGCTTCAACTAAGTACTACATTAAGGGTACAAATACTAATGCAATGTACTTATTTCAGTTTTTCCTTTTTAATAAATTTGCAAAGTTGTCACAAATGTGTTTTTTGCTTTGTCATTGTGGTGTGTGGATTGTAGATGGATGTGAAAAAAGTCATTTAAAGTAAAGCAGCAACAATAAAATGTGAGAAAAAAGAAAAGAAAGGGTATTAATACTTTTGCAAGGCACTGTAGCTTAATCAGATAATGACCACAACTTCCTTCTCACAGTGGAGAGATAATACAAGCATATCTACTCCAAAATAATTTTTTAAGAATACTGAAAGGTTAAAAAAGGAGTATAAACTCATTGAATACAAATACGAGGGGTCTGAGTTAAATAATTTGGTAATTTAATTAAATTGTTGATTAGTGTTTATTTTGTAATACAATTGCTGGAAAAGTAACAACTCTCTGGAGTGGAGGTATTTTTGCAAGTTAAATTTCAATTAAGAGACACAACTATAAGAAAGCGGTTTGTAGGATTATTCTTCCAAAAAGTTTAAATACTGTGACACTGTGGCACTTTCAGAATATTACTCTGTTATTTAAACAGCCTGATTTCACCACATTGGCTGGTAAGTTTTGGGGTTTGACTTCTTGTTTGTCCGATCAATGGTAGATGTGTGAATGTCTGAAAGTCATTATTTTTGCAATTTTGTTTGGTGTTGCTAGTGTAGAAGAAATTATAACTGTTAAACAAAAACTGACTATATCACATTCTTACCTCCGGCATGCAGAACTGACGTCATTATTGACGGCACCCAAGATGTCTCACTGTAACTGGCTTCAAATTCTTCCTGAAGATCTAAGTAGAAGATGCTAATGCATGCGGGGAAGGCCAGTGTCAGAGCTAAGACAAGGATGGTAGCCACCAGGACCACCCATCCCCAGCCTCCATCTGGAGCATCGCAGGTAGCTGGATGATCTTGATCAGAAGGGGGTCTTGGTCCTTGTTTCTCTCCCTCAGATTCAGGCTCATCTAGCTCCCCCGCCTGCTCCTCCAAGCTGGAAGGTTGTTGAGGTGCCATGTTTCCTAAATGATGGTAATCAAGTCACTGCCGTTTTTTTCCACCTGATCCGGGGGGCTTTGGGCTCTCAGCACCAGAAGAGCGGGGAAACACATTCTTGTATATTCTATATCACCAAAATAAAGTGTCCTTGCTAAAAGCCTATAAAAAGAGGGGAGGGGGAGGGGGGGTTATGCAATAATCTTATTAAACAAAGATCCATTTAAAACATTTTCCATACAAACAGGACAGAATTTGTAAAATATAGAAGCTACAAAAGTGAGTTCTAGTATGAACATGTCAAACTCCTCTTTGTTTACTTTTCCAAGTTCAAGTGGACCAGAGGGGGAAGGCCGGGTTATTGGTCACATCCACCTTAGAAATGTTTCAGTTTGTTTCATCTGTAGCCTAACTTAATATTAACCAAATGAACATTTGTCTAAAACCTACTACAACACATCTGGATGTAGTCGTTTTTAGTTTTTCTTGTAATCTTCTAAGTCACTGAATTGGTTTCTTTCTTCTGTTGAATGCAAAGGAAGAAATTTTGAAGAAGGTTGGTATGGTAACCAGACAGTGACTTCCATAGTATTGTTTTTCTTAAGTCAGTGGCACCCAGTCAACTGTCTGTCAACATATTCTTTAAAATATATTTTTTGTGTTCAACAGAAGAAAGAACCTGAGGTTTGGAACAACCTGAGGGTGTAATGACAAACTTTTTCATATAAAATGACATTCATGTGTCGCGACCTGGCGTTACGATGTAACTTAGGGGTCACTGAACGAACAGATAAAAAGATTCGACTCACTGGGATGAATACAAATCCCCACCACTTATATCAGTTCACATTCTCCTTTGTCTGGTGTTTTTGTTGCAGCTGTTAAAGTGTTCTGAACATGATGACATATCTGCTTTCCCGGAAGAAGCGACTTTATACATAAACAACAAAGACACTAAACGAAAAGCCGATGTAGCGTAGCCTATGTGCTTACAATAGCTGCCAAAACACTTTAGAAAAAAAAAACCCTTTAAGACGTGTTTGACCGGCTAAAGCCCTAAAGTAAGCTTCTCAAAACAGTCTTTTATTGAAATTACCTGAAATTGGCCACATCACCGGGATGACACGAGTCAATGTCAAAATTTCATCCTGTTCTTCAAGCCCGATACGAGTGGAAAAAATGCGTATTGCCATGCTCAAACACGGTAAAATTCAAAGCTTGACAAGCTAAACAACAAACAAACCTTTTAGCACATTTTCAGGCATCCACGCCAGTGCCGCGTCTCTGTGCTGCTGCGGAGGCTGCGGCGGAGACTGCCATATCAGCGGTAGGAAGGAGGAGGCACTGAGAGGGAGCAGTTTCAGGCTCCGGGCGATTAAGCAAAGGCAAATGTAACAGCCTGTTCTTTCACATATCCCACTATGACTACATAACACAAATGGAGAGAGCTAGATTAAATTGGTAACGGCTCCTTTAACAGTCTACACGTAGGGAAATTTGAGTACCGGGGCGATGGCATGGCATTTCCTCTTGCCTTTCCCCCAGAGCGACTCGGTCTCCTCCGCCTAGTGCCGCGCTGAAGGGCGGGTTTCAATATGCTGGCGTAGTTTAGCAAATATAACCCACAGACTTTATTTTAATGCGTTTTTTAGTCCATTCATACAGCAACTGTTATGATTATTAAAAGTAAAATTACCCCCAACAGTAGAGTAAAGTAACAGGCTACTGATCCCATGACGCAATGTCCTTTGTGCAGTAGTTTCTAAATCCAAAACAAACATCTTATTCTTACCCAAAACACGCTCGGTTATTTTCCAATACTAATCATTTACAAGTTAAACATATTACGACCATTTTAATTTAGATCACCTGAATTAAAGTATATAGCCATCGAGCTGAGATAGTTAAAGAAGAAAGAAAGAAATGTCTGTGGAACTTTCTTCAGTGGCAGATGTTGGGCAGAATGTCTGTCACTATAAAAGCGAGTAGTGACTGAGACTGTCATTCTGCCCAACTTCTCATTTTGTGTTCCATGGTAGAAACGACATATCTGGTCAAAATAAAAAAATTGGGGGTAAATTATCCCTTAAAATCATATAGCCTAGTATTATTTACAGGGTTTCCATCAAAATTAAACATCAGTAAATTTTAAAATAATGCTTTCCTGATATGGCAAATTAACATTTCAATAGTGATTTTTTTTAAGGCTCAAAAATATTTAGCTGTCCTAAAATTACGGTTTGTGAGCACAAAATCTAAAATCTAATATACATTTATATAATATAGATTTCTATTTTTCTAAATGTCAAAATGTTTTTTTTAAACAGAATACATATTCAAAGTTTTAATGTAAAAAATTGTACATGCCACAAGTCTGAAACACAAACACATTTTATGATAAAAATCAAACATTATCATTTTGCAATCTGTACATTGCAAGAAACTGCATCAGAAGACAAACTTCAAAAATGAAAACAAACAAAAAATGAATATTGAAAAGGACAGTCTGATCAAGACTATTCATTTCCAGAACACTTAGCTCCACAATCTCCATAGCCTATAGTGACATATTTGACACTTTACATCAATACTATTGACAATGCAATACACCCAAAACATCTGATGAAAGAGCAGGTTTTCAGCACGTTTAAATGTATGTGTACTGTATATTAAAGCATGCAGGTGTTGTAGACTAACTATCATGGCAGAAAAAAAAAAAAAAAACTCTTCTGTTAAACACGGACCTTGTTTTTAACTTTTATCTGAAAATGTTGACAGAGTACTGCACTTTTGGCCGGCTCAAAAACATTGATTGAAAGTCAATTTTTTAAACCAAATAGAAATACACGGGGTGTTGCAAAAATATATTTTGCCTTAGCAAGCAAGTTTTTCCAAGTTTGATTTTAGTGATCTCTACAAAACAAACAAAATAGGGCCAGATTTTCCACTTCTTAAGTGTTATTAATACCATCTGTAAACTGTCCATGCACCAATTCACCTTTACAATATGACAATATCCCAGCATATAACATTACATACTCAACACATTGCATGCTTCCAAGTTGCCGTTCCAAAACGTCAACCTCCTGGTTTTTCAGAATAGCATAAATATTTTCACAAAGAAAATATCTTTTATCTATCTTTTTGTTTGATCTTAAACAACACATGGTACAAGACCTAAAGGAGAATGGCAGATTTCTTTAAGGAAACGATACAAAGAAGTCTCAAGTGCTGTAAAGCATCAGCAGTCAATGTGACATTCATATCAGTTTCCTGAACCGTCTTAAATAAAACTTGAGACTGCACATGACATTTTCTAATGCCTAACATGGGGTTCGATTCTAAAAATAGAACAAAATCTGAAAACAAAATCCACACAGTGAGAACATTATAATGTAGGTAGGTGCAAAATTAAAAGTGCATTGGGGCAGAAATGAAAAAGCTAAATATAGATGAACCACTGAAACAAGAACAAGAACAAACTCAGGGGAAATGGGTACATTCAGTATCTGAGTCAAGGAACAGAACTGACTTAGTCAAAACAAAACATGAGATTTTAACAATCTGCATTTTAAGAAGAGTAATCTAGGAGTGAAAAACACATAGGGCACGACAGGTCAAAGGCACAACACTAGACAAACAGGTGGGGTGGAGAGAGACTTAAACGGTGCCCTCTAGATTTGAATCCAGGACTCTGCTTTGAAACCAGACCTGAAGCCTATTTAAACAATGGGAATGTACAATAGGATCCTGTGAGAGAGCCGAGGTCCCGTTAATATTTGAGGCTGAACAAATAAACTCTTCTCAGGAGGGGGAAAAAAATTAACATAAAAAAAAAGGAAAACCAACGACCACATAAACAAAGTATACTGTAGCTCACAAACTCAAGTACTATGCCTTCTTGATATGATAAACAAAAGGACATGAGTGTAAACTGCGATAAAGAGGTAAAATCCTTAACGGCATTTAGATAGGAAGAGACAACACTTTAAAACACTGCAGACCATAAAAACGTCACCTAAAGTCCACACACATGATGCCATCTTACACCGATCCCTAGATTCAATAGTTTATCAAAAGATATGAATAACCAAAAGTCAGCCTGGATACCATTCAAATACTGACAATTTGTGATATAATCACAGCAGATTCAGAAAAACCACTATGAATTTAGTAAAAAAAATCAAAACAGGAAATCAAGTTTATTTAAGGGCAACTGGTTTGAAAGACTGGGCTTCAATGTTAAAATGATTTACCTCTAGTGATAAACTAGTTTTGGGGGGAGAAAAGACAAGAACGTTCCACAATAAATGGATCCCTTTACATTCAAAAACATTCCACTGACGTGATCAGACTTTGTTGAACAAAAATTTGTTAAACAGTTAAATAGCCAAAATGTTACAGGGAGAGCTATATCTCAATCTAAAATGTCAGAAAAGTGTAAAAAAAAAAAAAAAAAAAAAATGCAACAAAGAGCCACTAATGCAGTTTTGCCCTGACTCAAAACTTGTGGGCACTTTGTCTTACAACAGTCTCCTGAACCACCTGGACTATGTAGGCTTGATACCTCTATGCAAGAAATCTCCTGTTTTTTTCCAGTCATCGACACAAAGTTTGAAGGAACCACACAACAAATTCACATCTCAAAAATTACATTAGGGGTCAATACAGAACCTCCCCCAATAAAATAGAGAAACTCATCTTGATAAACACCCACAAAAAAAACCTCGACCACTATGGTACAGATATTAACAATGACTTGCATTCGGCCTCTTCATAATACATATGTTTGTAATATACATAAGCCTCACATGCCCTACAACCACATATTTCTTTGTTTTGTTATTTATTTCCTGTTTTGATGCTTTGAAATATCCAGCGACAAGGCATAAAATAAAAAAATCCAGGATGACAAAAATCAACCGGAGCGAACTGGAAATGTGAGACGTCTTCACAGCGATGGACACGCGATTTTGGGCATCTGACCGGACAATTGGCAGTATGAGTTCTCCCTTCTCCTTTAGTCCTTTCCAGATGGGTAAATGGGTAGTTAACGAAAGAAACATGCCACTCTGAAGAAGTTCAAAAGCCGCTGTCTTCTTTTTATCCATTGCGCCATCTGCTGTGCTCTTGGTCTGACCAGGCAATGGGAAGTGAATGCTGAAATGATGCAGATTTGGCTGATAATGATTAGATAATGCGCTTGTTAATAGAAGCTGTATTGACGGTCGGAAATGGAGTCTATCTTGCACCCCGTTTGGAAGTCCTGAGGAGATTATGGTCATGTGGATGCAGCCGAGCCAACAGGGGCAACTGCGCCCCCTTTAAACATTTAAAGCCAGCAGCTTTAAAGATTATGATGATAATGACTGGGATATGAGGAGGATGATGATGAAGTCGGCATAAATAAGCATTAGGATGAATGATGAATCCTTCCCTGTAATCCTCTCTCTGATCAGTCTTGCATCAAATGTAATGATCTGAGGTTTGACCTCGGACACATTTTTCGATTAGTCGACAATAGCAGTGATAGTTAGTGGTGGTGCTGATTGGTTAATGTTGCAGCACTGCAGGGAGGAGGGGGACTGAAACCCCCACAGTGGAAAGGCACAAGGGAGGAGGGGACGGTGAGGTGAGGGGTGGTGGGCTAATGAACTTGAAGTCAGCTGTATGGTGGAGGAGGATCTGGAGAAAGGAAGTGAGGGATGGGAGATCTGTCTGGGCTCCTCACATCCTGGACCCCCTCTCCTGAAGGATCTGTTGGGGAAACATGAGGACAACGATGAGCTCTAAAATTTTTAATTAAATAAAATTCTCCTCAATCTGTTATGGAAGTTAAGAACCATTAATAAACACTAAATAATACCACTTTTTTTTTTTTTTTTTTTTTTACTTTATTGTATTATTATTTTATTTATTTTATTAACTACTTCTGTTATTATTACTACTAATAATAACCATAATAATCAGTATTATATTTTACTTGATTTAATAATTTAATAGAAACTTTTTTTGTAGCAAAAAATAAAAATAATAATAATAGGGCTATACGATTTAGGGGGAAAAAATTGCATTTGCGATATAAAAATATTCCAGGTTTGCTGTGCTTTTTGAAGGGCTGCGCATTTTTATTATTTCTTCTTATTTATTCATTTCATTTAAACTTTTTTGTAACAAAACATAATAATAATAATAATAATAATAATAATAATAATGTAACTTCATCTTAGTTTAATAATTTATTTGAAAACATTTATGTAGCAAAATATTATATTTTATAACAAAATATCATATTTTGTTACAAAAAAAAGTTTTCAAAAAAATATATTCAACTAAATAAGGTAATTAAAAAAAAGAGCTCATCATACCTTAGCCTTCTCAGTGGGCTCGATAACAATTCCGTTAGTGGAGTTGTTGAGCTCCCGGGAAACGACGCACAGGAATTCGGCCTGGTCCTCGTTGCCATAGTTATAGGAAGAGCCGATGCTTATGAGCTTGAGATGGACAAGTTGAGTCAAGTTTTTACCATAGCAAACAGATAAGCAACAAAAACAGCAAATTACGTGAGTCCCAAAGAAAGGTGTAGGGACTCAAAAGGTGTTTGAGCCTGTCTCTCAAAAACAATGTACAGCATCTACAATCTGTTGTTTGGAGGGACATGACTTATAAGAAACAACCTGATAAGACATCAAGGAGCTATCAAGAGATCTGCAGTATGTCTGAGTTCAAATATGCTACTACAATAAAATACTGCATGTCTAGACATAGGATCTCTATTCTCTACCTATACCGGTCAATAGTATCACATTATGTGATGGGGCTGTGAAGAGAAAACAAAACCTACCTGTTCAAACTTCCATCCGTCTGACATGGTGGAAACCATTTGAGTGAGCTCCTCTTCTTGACATTGTAATACACGATACACATGCTTCACAGGGCCCTGTAAAAACAATCATATTCCATAATGAATTCATTCTGTGAAGATGCACAGGTTTTTAGAAACCCATTTAAGGATAGTTCACCCAAAAATGAAAGTTCTATCATTATTTACACACCCTCATGTTATTTCAAACCTGTATGAGTTTAATTCTTCCATTGAACTAGAACAAGTTATTAGAAAGAGCATACTATTTTCCATACAATTGAAGCACAAAGTTCATTGTATGGAAAAGTGCAGCATGAACATTATTCAAACCATCTTCTTTTGCATTTCACAGAAGAAAAAAAAGAAATACGAGTTTGAAACGACATGAGGGTGAGTACCCTAAAATGAAAAGTCTCTCGTCATTTAAACTATTCCCTTAAAGCAAATTCTCAATGCGTGTCTATTTTATTATAGGAACATTGATTCAAATAAAGTTCCCTTCAGTTCCTAAATAGTTTCGAATGAGGAATTCACATTCCAATGATAAGTACTCTTTCCCTTTGGCACAGACTGCTTAAAGTCGAAGAATGAAATACCTCCTTTGAGTAATGCCAGTGATACTAGCAAATTTGCTGATTGATTGTATTAAAGTGTCCTGTTCCTCGGGCTGTTATTTTCCCACATACCTGAGACGTTCTGTTCTCATTGTCTCGTATTCTCTCCTTCACCAGCCTCACAAGTGACGCAATGTTGTAAAACTCAGCTTCCTCTAGAACACCTGCAGTAGCCAGAGAATCAGTAAAGATCTATCATGTGGTTACCGCTTTGTAATCAGAAATAAATATCTGGAAAAATATAGTCTTAAAAGAATGGTTCACACCAAAATGAAAATTCTGTCATTTACTCACCCTCATGTCCTCGCAAACCTGTATAACTTTCTTTCTGCTGCGGTACACAAAAGAAGATGTTTCAACTATTTTGTCCACACAATCAAAGTCAATGGGGTCCAAAATATCATTGGACTCCATTGACTTTCATTGTACGGACTTACTTTGTGTATAACAGAATAAAGAAAATTATACAGGTTTGGAACAACATGAGGGTGAGTAAAAGAAGTCAGAATTAAACATTTTGGGTGAACTATCCCTTTAATGCTACATCCATGCCAATAAAAGCAATACAAAAATTATGCACTACAAGTAGACCAAATTGGTAACAAAACAAAAACAACATGCAATAACTGCCATTGTCACAATTTGGAGCAATGACTCACAAAAAAAGACACAATTATTGGACACATAGACTGTAAGCCTTTCAATATCTCACCAGTCCTGCAGGAAATTATCTCTTACGTGAGTACACTGTGGTCCCTTTCCACAAAAAAATTGATGTTTCTAAATGAAACTAGGTCATTACTGTTCCATTAAGAAGTTTTTGAGGGCAGCATGCCCAGATCATCTCACCCTCCTCAGCGAGGTTCTTGTTGATGATCAACTTTCCATGCCTCAAGTAGTTCAAGATGGGTCCGAAATATGTGGGATCCCTGTCAATCAAATATGCTCCTGTCTCATCCTGTGAGAAAAGACAACTAACAGTGTGAATAGTGCTATTTGCAATTGCAATTCATAGTTTTCGATTTCCTTTACCATCACTGTTTTAGTCGCTGCAGTTAAAAGTGTTAAATCATTTGTGAAAACCCCCCTTGACAAACCACTGATACCATTAACATCATGTTAACATCACTGAAGCAGCAGGTAAAGTAGCGACTGATTACCAAGTGATTGAACATTTCTAGAACCCAGTTTGTGAGACCTTTCATGCTCCAGTATTAGGGCAAATTAGAGTAGCAACAACAGCTTTTTTCAAATGAGAATCTTCAGTGAATTTTAAACTGCAAACTGTGATGTCTATTTTTACATGAATTGACACCTTGGAGAGGAAATACTCTACTGCACTGTGAAACGCTTGTACACCCTGCTTTAAACAGTTCAAGTTAGTAGAAAACTTAACATGGTAGCTATCTAGATGGTCTAGAGATGGTCAAGATGGTGGAGCAAGCTAGTAAACTTTCTTGGACCCGCAAGAAATTTATGAAATGCTACCAGCTTATAGTCACTATGATATCAAAATTGACAATTTTTATTTATGGAATATTGCAGTATTTAATTTATCAGTGTACTGTACAACTATTTTTTTTTTTAATTCATGTTCCCTCATAATCTTTAATCAAAATAAGTTCCCCTCCCTCTTGCAAGGACATTGACATCTCTTCTCTGATGATGTTTACCGGCTTGAGGATGGGACAACCTGTCACTCGCATCAGTCGCATGAGATCACAGCAATGGCAAACCACAAAGAACCAATGATCCAATCAATTTCCGATGGAAAAAATAAAGTCCCACCCTACATTACGATATACTTCACAACAATAGGGAAGAAAAGGTGGCCATGCTGGTTCTTGAACATGTTAACCTGTTTCTAGCTGGTCTAAAATGGTAATTCCCTGGTCCAAACTGGTAGACCATCTTGGAACAACAACAACCCAGTTAGCTGGTGATGATCATCTTAAGGTGGTCAAGGTGGTTTATGGAACATGGTAACTGGTGAAAGTGAAACAGATAATGACCAACTTAGACCATGTAGAAACCAGTTATGTTTTTTTTTTTTTTAAACCATCTATCTTACAGGATTAATTAACCTAAAATGAAAATTCTGTCATCATTCAATAACCCTCATTAACCACCACTTTATTTCTTCTATGGAACATAAAACAAGATGTTTTGAGAAATGTATTTTGTTGTCAATACTGTTTGGTTAATGGTTACCAACAGTCTTCAAAATATCGTCGTTAGTGTTCCACAGAGGAAAGTAAGTCATACAGGTCTTTGGAACGACGTGTAAATGATGACAGAATTGTATTCATAAAGCTGGATTTTACCAGCTGAGCTTCATGTGTATGCACTATGCATGTATAAGTATGTGCAGTACAAAATAAAATGCACACATACAACCCTTTATGTCCACAATGTATTCATTCCCAATGTTACCGTTGCATACAGATGAAAAATTACATGTAATGACGTGTTTTAATGATGTAAACAGAGCCTTACCTTATCCGAATCCAGATCTGGATCGTCCTGACATAATCGATACAAAAACGATTTAGGATCCCTGCACAGGGTCTGTTTCGTTGTAACAAAGTACGTTCCCCCGACATTCAACCGAACCCACCGAGATCCTGGCTTCTCTGTGGCTTCTGGTGATGGGGAAGTGGGGTTGCTCTTCATAGGAAACCCAAACACAGCTCTGGAGCTGGAGACCCCTGGACTGGACAAGCCAGTCCGGGGCGGAATCACCAGAGTAGGGGAGGGGAGTCTCACGTTCACTGAGCCTCTGATTTCACAATGCTCGGTCTGCTCGATGATGCCAGTCGCGTTGGGTTCAACGTGCAACTCTGCCATGTTTTCGCAGCACAAACAGTCAGTTCCGTCTTGATCAGAGACCAAATGCCTTATTTAGCGCTCCGCAGGGCGCTGTTACGCGAAACGGGCCGGGTTTACACGCGTTGATAACGACGACGGCAAAATTGCTGCGGTGTGTTAGTAACGCTCACGCGAGGCGACATAGCTTACAATGCCGTAAAACGCTATACTGATCCGTTTTGTTTATCCAAACGACCCATGCAAGCTACAAATATTATGGGTGAGACTTAACATATCACTTCCCGGTCAGGGAAATCTATATGTGACAAAATAAAAGTCTGGATAATGGTATTTTTGGCATTTCTTTATTTCAGACATAATGTTCGGGAAATTGTAGAAATGTTGGCTTTGGAACTAACCGAAATAAATGTTTAAGTTTAAAAAAATTAAATAAAAAATAATTAACGCTATATAGAAATACATACATAAAAAAAAACTAATAAAAAAACCAAGCTAATTCAAAATATCAATAAATAGTATAATAATATACATAACTAAAATAACACTTCTGCGGATGGATTACTTCAACAATCCCGCTGAAAAGAAAAACAAGTTTAAAAGTTTAAAATGTATTTATTCTGCATGGAAATCAGAATGAGAGATTTTAATTTCATTCATGTACATATTGGTTGGTGATCATTTTAAATGAAACAAATACCATAGTAGTGTTATATTTTATTACATTTATATTACCACCCCAAAAAATTATTTTTGCATTTGTTTTTTAAAGAATACAATAGCTATTCACAAACACAAGCCATCTCAGTTGTTTCTCTATGTTTTACATTGCTCTGCAAGTAGAGTTTAAATTGAAAGGAACCAAAGAAAGTTTTCAAATGAAATTCATGCACCAAATTTAAGATTAAGATTGAGAGGTAGATTAAGTACAGAATCCCATTTCATTTAGAACGCTTTCAGTGTCTCTCAGTAGGTTGCGCAGAGGCTCCAGCACTGGGGTGACGTGTTGGTCCATCCACTCCTGAACTGTAGAGACTGAGTACAGAAGACACATCTCTCCCCTCACCTCTTGCACCTGAATCTCCACATCATCAAGAATCCTGTTGGAGCAGACGAGAAGAACAATAGGGATATACAGGTCCTTCTAAAAAAATTAGCATATTGTGATAAAGTTCATTATTTTCCATAATGTAATGATAAAAATTAAACTTTCATATATTTTAGATTCATTGAACACCAACTGAAATATTTCAGGTCTTTTATTGTTTTAATACTGATGATTTTGGCATTCAGCTCATGAAAACCCAAAATTCCTGTCTAAAAAATTAGCATATTTCATCCGACCAATAAAAGAAGTGTTTTTAATACAAAAAAAAAAAAAGTCAACCTTCAAATAATTATGTTCAGTTATGCACTCAATAGTCAATACTTGGTCGGGAATCCTTTTGCAGAAATGACTGCTTCAATGCGGCGTGGCATGGAGGCAATCAGCCTGTGGCACTGCTGAGGTGTTATGGTTATGTTAGGGTTCAGGTCAGGAGAGTTGGCAGGTCAATTGAGCACAGTAATACCATGGTCAGTAAACCATTTACCAGTGGTTTTGGCACTGTGAGGAGGTGCCAGGTCGTGCTGAAAAATGAAATCTTCATCTCCATAAAGCTTTTCAGCAGATGGAAGCATGAAGTGCTCCAAAATCTCCTGATAGCTAGCTGCATTGACCCTGCCCTTGATAAAACACAGTGCACCAACACCAGCAGCTGACATGGCACCCCAGACCATCACTGACTGTGGGTACTTGACACTGGACTTCAGGCATTTTTGGCATTTCCTTCTCCCCAGTCTTCCTCCAGACTCTGGCACCTTGATTTCCGAATGACATGCAAAACTGAGCAACAGTCCAGTGCTGCTTCTCTGTAGCCCAGGTCAGGTGCTTCTGCTGCTGTTTCTGGTTCAAAAGTGGCTTGACCTGGGGAATGCGGCACCTGTAGCCCATTTCCTGCACACGCCTGTGCACGGTGGCTCTGGATGTTTCTACTCCAGACTCAGTCCACTGCTTCCGCAGGTCCCCCAAGGTCTGGAATCGGTCCTTCTCCACAATCTTCCTCAGGGTCCGGTCACCTCTTCTCGTTGTGCAGCGTTTTTTGCCACACTTTTTCCTACCCACAGACTTCCCACTGAGGTGCCTTGATACAGCACTCTGGGAACAGCCTATTTGTTCAGAAATTTCTTTCTGTCTTACCCTCTTGCTTGAGGGTGTCAATGATGGCCTTCTGGACAGCAGTCAGGTCGGCAGTCTTACCCATGATTGCGGTTTTGAGTAATGAAACAGGCTGGGAGTTTTTAAAAGCCTCAGGAATCTTTTGCAGGTGTTTAGAGTTAATTAGTTGATTCAGATGATTAGGTTAATAGCTCGTTTAGAGACCCTTTTCATGATATGCTAATTTTTTGAGACAGGAATTTTGGGTTTTCATGAGCTGTATGCCAAAATCATCAGTATTAAAACAATAAAAGACCTGAAATATTTCAGTTGGTGTGCAATGAATCTAAAATATATGAAAGTTAAATTTTTATCATTACATTATGAAAAATAATTAACTTTATCACAATATGCTAATTTTTTGAGAAGGACCTGTATATGATCATATAAGGGACTTGTTTAAAATGCACTTGAATAAGAAACAAGAAAGAATGTTGTGAAAAAAAGCTAACTAAACATGCACTACTGTATTCATAATAAAAGACTTACATTTTTGCTTGTGTTTTAATCTGTTGAGCAATTAGTGGGTTAACGGTCTTCCTTTGAATGTGATAAGGCGTGAACCAGCCCCTCACAAACCTATTATGCAAAAATGAATAAAACGGTTAGTGAGAACTTTGCAATAACTTCAAAAGCATCTTTTAAAAGGGAAACCCTAATAGCCCTGAACTCACATATTGTTCTGAAATTGTCTCAGTTCTGCAGACTCCAGCAAAGACGTCAGCTTCACTATGAGTTCAGCTAGTTTCGCCCCAACAAAGGAGGAAGACATCTTGGAAGACGATCTGGGACACAGAGGCCAAAGAATATGCTGTAAATGAGTCTATTTCAAAGTAACCCTTGAGGTTTCTTAGTGTTACACACTCACATGCTTTTTTCTTTGAGGACACGTGTATGAATGAAAGGTACCTCTCTAAGTCTCCTACTTCCACAGTGCCAAGTGTCTTAACCACCTTCTTTTGATCCTCTTCAGTAAAGCTACCTGAATCACATTGAGCAGCTATAGTGAGTTTAGCACTCTTAATATGCATTTACTCCCACCAATTTGCCACGCAAGCACTAAAGAAAAAGAAACTTAAAAATGAAAGAGACTGACCGTGCAGAAGAGTTTGCAAACAAGACGCCAGAGAGGGCAAACTCACGGGCATCAGTTCACACAAAACAGACAGGTGGTCATATCTTAAGGGAAAAAAAGAAACATACATGTTGTTGCCTTGGTCAATAAGAAGACTGATTCTAGTGATAGTGAGGATGTCATCTAACCTTTGCCATCCAGTTAGTGCAATTCCCTGTAGCTCAATGCCAGCTGACAGGCTGGATACCACTTTGAGCCATTGCAAATGGTTGTCCACATGCCTCTGAGTGCAGGTCACACAGGTGTGCACGGTGGTCGAGCCTTTAAAAGAGCTGGCGGCCCACTGCTGTGACATACCCGCAGACTTATATAGCTCCATTAGCTCAACTGGAAAGAGTGCATGTAAAATGATCAAGCATTACTATGAACAAATAATTCAAAGCATTTAACAGTAACTTAAACGTAATGTAGAATTCTTCTGAGTAACGTACCAGTGTTTTTGACATCCAGAGCAGGGCTGTAATCCCACAACATTGGTTGCACTAATCCAACAAGACCGCTTTCTAGAATAATATCACAAATTGGATAGGGATTTCTGTTAAATTCAATTTGGTCATTACTAACAGTATATTATATTATTTATTTAATTTCTTTTATTTCACTTTGTGTAAGTGTGGAAGATGTGGAGCATTTAAGTACAATATTTGAACAGCAAGATGTGTCGCATCAGTCAAAGACCAACAATTAAAAAAAGTGCATCCTCCTCAGTGAACAGCCCTTTAGACCTTGTTTGAAGTCCAAACCCGCTCCAAAAAAATGTCTTTCTATTGTCTTTTTATGTATAATTGTATGCTTTTTGGCAATTGGCAGATGGCTGACACAAAAATAAACATTATGTCATTAAGAGGTTACATAAAAATGTAGGTTTGGAACAACATGAGGGTGAGAAAATTAAGAAATTTTTCACATATGACACTATTTATTGAATATATCCTTTCCTTTTGTACACAGCAAAATCATAATAATTAAAAGCTCACCTTTAATGGTCTCAGGGGTCATGGACCTGAGCATATCATCCCACATGATCAACTTAAGGTTGGGCACACTTTTCTGAATTCCCTTCGCCACTTTAATGACATGACTGAGGAACAGCTTGTGAACGCTCCGACCTGGAGCACTTAACCACTGTTTGGACTCATCTCCGAGACCAAGCATGTAAACCTATGAAAATAAACAAATGTTATTTGATCAACAGACCAATATTAAACTAGCAACCTATGTCAGACATCTACTTTTTCAAGATCTGAACAGATCTCGAGGCAACAGTTTTTCTTGCAGGAATCAGACATGTGACTCTTTTTATTGACAGAGGGTTGGGGTTCACCTCATCGGCTCCGATGTGCAGGTTGGTACTTTTAGGGTGGAGCTTCATGACTTGTTTTAGCATCTCTTGCACCAGCCTAACTCCTCGATCATGGTGTGGGTTCAGAGTTCCCAGACAGTAGTCCACCTCCCGCAGATCTCTAAACACCTTGTGCTTCAGGACAAACTGATTGAGAAAATTGTAAATATTAATGTTTGAATATGCATGATTTGATTTTGTTTATTTTGTTGATACATTTATTTTAATGCATTGTGTTTTGATATTAAACTGGCAAATCTTTGGCTCTTTCTTACTTTATGTAAATGACAAAAATCAGTTTCATAGTTACTTCCAAATGTCCAAACATCTGCACCAGGGGAATGATCTCCAGCCCTCTTTTATTGGCAGCATCCTGGATAGATGCAATCTCCTCACGGCTGTTTGAATATTAGGCATTTTTCATCAGATAAATTATCACACACAAAAAAAATCTACATTTAAAATATATACCCTCACCTGTATGGAGGCTGAGTCGTAGACTGCAGAACTTTCAGCTCTCCTTCATAGGGAAACATATCCTCATATTCAATGAGCAAGCCATTGGCACCAAGATCAGCAAATAACTGGATCAACTGAGGAAACATAATCGTGGTTTATTCCTTAATTCGTTTGTTTTATTTAGACGGTTATATTAGAGTAAAAGGAGTTGTACCTGAATTAGGTAGTCAATTCTAGGAGGTGCCCCTTTCAGGTCCAAATGAACTAACTTTTTGCAACTGCGCAATGACAGGTCCATAGCAGGTGCTGCACAATAAAAAAGCTAATAGCGCCTTTAAAAGATTGTAACTCTTACACCATATTTGAATTACGAGATTAACAACCGAGACGGGATAATGTGCACAGATTCGCCTTTCATGTATTTCTTATTCAGCCTTGTTCCTCTATCCAAAAATACGCACTTTCATTCAACCCAACGATGCTTAGCATGAGAAAGAACCGCTGTTTATTTATTTATTTATTTTACTGTACACTCCTTCAACCCTGTTAAAGAACGACGGGCATTGTAGTTTTTTGTGCATTCTTAAACCCGCAGCAATGCAGACCTAGGACTACAAGTGATTTTACGTCCGCTCAGAACCGGAAGACTTGGTTCTCTGCAGGGATGTTATTTTAGAATAAGAGTATGGTAACGCACACACACACACACACACACACACACACACACACACAATAATTCTGACATTCTGAGGAAATTTAAAGATAGTTTTTTACTGAATTTATTCTGAAATATGAAAACTGAACTAAATAATGATTATTAAAAAAAATGTATTAAAAAATCTTCAAGTTAAATGTTAAGACAACTGAGAAATGTACAATTATATATTTTTTAATAATATATATATAGGCCTATATGAAGACTTCAGATGCAAAAGCCTCGATCTAAAGTTTTTGTTTAATATTAACATTTTTATCAGGCTCCTATGTATAGGTTTCTACCCAAGTACCGGCATTTCTGAATGGGTTGAGGCTGGGATTTAGTGAGTTTGAAGTGAAAGTATTACTATGTGCGGAGAACATTTACTCAATATTATTATCTCATTTTTGACAGAGGTGGCTTTTAGAGGCGTTTGCATCGGAGGTCTTCATATAGGCCATTTACACTTTGAGAGCATATTCATTTAAGATAGGTACTGGAATCTGTTTTTGAGCATGTCATGTCGAACGTGTCACACTCTAGTGGACAGTGGTTCAATGTACAATATTGGTGAATACAATGTTATTGGTGGCAGCATAGTTGTTAAAATGTATCAGTTCTACTCCTGGAAGGTGATTCATGAACTGTGGCTAATTACATTTCACAGACACAAGAATAAACTGTTCCTAAATGTCACAATGTGTGTGGTCATAATTGCTTGTTGAATATCAGAAACAGAGTAGACATAACTAATAGTTTTCTCTGTACAAATTATCACATTTGCTCTTGAAAATAAAAATAATTATGCCACAAAAAATAGCTTACCTAATAACACTAATTTTTGAATTTCCTATACTGTCTTTATAAAAATTAGAAGACTATTGCAACGAACCCCTTCATAAATAATAAAAAGAAAATAAATATGCTTGTTTGTATGAATGGTTTATATAAACACTAATCGTATAAAATTCCCTGGAATCTGGGCATATTTCACACAAAAAAGATAGAATAATAGAATGTAGAACAGAATAGAGAATAATAGAAAAGAAATGAAACATTTTTTATATGAATAATATATACATAATAAAATATATAACGATAAATGCAAAATAAAATGCAATAGAATAAATATAATAAAATAAAAGTTCTTTAAAACCTTAAGTGTGTACAAAAAAATGTGTGACAAGAGTGTTGTGCATGCAGAACTACGCAAACGCTTCTGCGTACTTTCCATTGAACAGAAGGGGGATCAATGGGAGCCCTGCAGCACCACGAGGGGGCCTGATGCAGTAACACAGGAGCATCAGCAGTCCAAAAGAGCTTTACAGGACAGGCGGGAGTGCGCAGCGACGCGAACGCGCATGCACTCACCCACAGAGACCCACTGCGATTGGAAGCGCGAGGCGGTCAGATCGTGTGTTTTGTGTTGCTGGCGCGCAGTATCTTTTCACGCAAGTGCCAAGGACTGCAAGGGAAAAGTTTATTTCAAAGACTCACCAACTAACGGGCATGATCGCTCCCAGATTCCCCTGAACGCCAGGTCAGTACGAGCAGATTCTGCGTTCATTCCTATGCTTCAAAGGCGCATTGTTGCAAATATAAAGAGTTGCATTGTTGGGACCGCTGGGGACTGATTGTTGCGTAGCGGTTTGCTACCTTGCGGCCAACCACGAAAGCCGCTTTGGTAATCCATGGTTTGGGGAACCTGCTATCGTGCTGCGGCAAAATGCTCCCATCGGGTTTTTAAATTACAGCCATGTGTTTCCTTCGCATTTGACACCCCAGCTCATTTTTATTATCTAGTTATGAGGTGATTTAGAGGGTTTACTCAGACCTGTGTTTATAATATGTGGTTTGTTTTGATTACCACTTGGCTTGCAAGTAATAAGCTGTCATCAGTCAAAAGGGCGCAACGGTTCATCAAAGTTATGATGAGTAGGCTCTTAGAGAATTAGTGTTGGCAGTTGGCATGTTTATTCTTGCTATTGGAAAAAAATATGTCATTATTGTGATGGCACATCATTTGTTTCAACGATCTGTTATTTATCACAGTAAACATTTCTTGGGCAGAACAGAACTGTTGGTTTGTAGGCTACTTCTGTATTTTGTTTGAAAGTGTATGGGCCGAACCGACCCTTCCCCCTTTCTCCTGCGGCCTCGCTGTCGCCTTCGTCCGGGGAGGGACTGCACTGGCGACCGTGATGAGTGACCAGTCGCTACACAAACAAAGGCGGGTTACCAGGGGAAACGGGGTTCTCTACTTACGGACTGGGTCGCTGGAGGAATAGTGACGGCTCACGTTTGGGCTCATCTGCATGTGTCTTGAATGAACCGCTGCAACAAAGACAAATAGTGTTTGACGTGTGAGAACCTGACGGCTGAAAATCACTTCACAAAGTGTTGTCGATAATGCGTATACCGCCTGCAAGGTCACTTTGTGTTCACGGCTGCTAAGTGGCTCAGTAGATTAGATAAACAAACCCGTTTTATGCTGTCTGGGGTTGTCCAGCCTTGGTGTTTGTTTGTCGAAGGGAGAAAAGAGTTTAATCGGAAAGGGCCACTCAGTTTGAAGTCAGTAATATGAATGACAAAAGACCATTTCTGATTTTATTTGAGTAAAATGAATTGCTTTTTAAATAGCCTACTCATTTAATGAGTATTCCTTGCAGCCTTTCTACAGCATGGCAGGAAGACAAGTAAATGCTTTGAAAAAATGTGATAGGCTAGGACTAGGTTTTAGTAAAATTGTAGCGTTGCTGCATTTGTCAAGCTTAGCCATTCAATGTTTTTGTAAAGGCAAAAGTAACAGTGAAACATTTTTCCTTTCAAGGTTTCCTAATAATATTTTATATTTTTAAAAAGAAAACTAATTTTTTTTTTTTTTAGAGTTTTAGGGCCTTTTTTTACTAAAAGTCACAAACTAATTTCAAACAGGCATTACACTGTCAAAGGTGAGTCTATCAATTCTGTGTTGATCACATGACTTGAACCTATTTTCAAAAATGTATCTTTTAGTTCAAATGTGGGTGAAAGTCATGTCATGGAATGAGAGACTTATGTCTGATCTATAAGTGATGGACACTTTGGCATTTAGTAGTGTCATGTTCTGGTATCAGTATGTGGACTAATGCCTGGTTTCACAGACAAGGCTTAAGCCTAGTCCCAGACTAAAATACATGTTGAGCTGTCTTAAATGAAAGCATCTTGCACTGACATATCTTAAAATATGTCAGTGCCATTGTTTTGTTTCAAGATGCACACCAGTAATGTTCTTTTCCAAGAAACGTTTACAAAAGCTAATTGTCCTAATTTAACTAAGGCCTACTCCTTGCTTAATCTAAACCCTGTCTGTGAAACCACGCCTAAATGTTTTGTTTCTACTGGGATCAAATACTACTTGTGTTATTAAGCAGAGAAGGAGTAACAAGCTTCATCCATCTTGTTTACTCATCACTTCCATTCTCCACACATTTACATCGTTACACAACATTTTATAAAAAATAGTTGTCAACACAATACAAGTCACTAATGAACAAAACACTTCATTCACTTTCTCTTAAATAGCATGTAATAGTTTGCTAAACTTTTGAAGACTTTTTTCTTTTCTTGTCGTGTGCTTATAAATCACTTGAAAACTAGGCTAATCAAACCAAAACACTTTTTTTGCGCAATAAAACATTTTTCGAAAGAAGATGACAGTGTTTGTGAGTGTAATCCTGGCTAATCTTAGGATCCTCCTGGCTCGGACTGTGGGATTCAAAATGTTTTCTTTTATCTGTCAGCCATAAACACTGCTTTAAAACTCAGGATTTTCCCAGGTTTCAAATTTAGACATACAGGTAGTTGTGTTTAAAAGAAAAAGAAATGATATCGTGAACCTCTCGTCATGATGTTTGCCTTTAAATTTACAACTGCTGATTTGATATTAGGTTCATGTTGGCTTTTAGTGCTGCTAAATGTTATGTAATGTTAAAGACCACTGTGTAGCAATTCTTAATTTGATCATACCCAGAGTGTAAATGTCACACTACAAGCCTTGTTTCCGTTTGGGGAAAGTGAGATTTAACAGAGACATGTATTTTCTCAAGTTCAATGCATTTGTGTCTGTGACTCAACATTTGCTATGGCTTTCAAATTTGGTTTGATTTGTGTGGCTCATCCATATATTTTTCTTCTCTGGTTTGAATCTGGTTAATCTCTGGTTATTCTGGCTTTTTTTTCTTTTCTTTTTTTTTTCTCGAGCAATAGTATTGAAACCTAAAGCTGAGGAAAAATGAGTAGGCTTATATTGTTACATAGATAACTGCTGTCAATTTATTTCTCCTTTCTGTAGTACGTTAGCATTTGAAATGGAGACATTAAGGGCTTGACTTTTTTGCTCATGTGGCTAGTGGTTTTTAAAGTTACTAGCCCCTCAGCATTTCACTGGCCACAATTTTGCCAAAAAAAAACTGCCATATAGATATTTTTAATCTCATAATTAGGATCCATTATACTGTTACACATAGGTTTTCTTTCTCAACTGTTTACGTTCACTTAACTGACTGTTTACGTGAATAGCAGCGAATACTCTGCAAGACCAGCTTTTTGAGTATTTTGTGTGTATTCAATGTAATAAGCAGCAAAAAAGAACTAAATTTTGTACTGAAAGGCAGCTTTATGTGTGCGCACTTTGGGTGTGAGCACAAAACATGCGGGAATGAGTAAAATTATGCACAGTACGTGCACTCCCACGCCGAAATTTAAGCCCTGTAACACCAACAATATTCATCCAGAGGAAAAGAAACGAGTGAGTGAGCGGAGGCTGGTTTGGTTTGTGTGTCAACTCGCTGTCGGAGAGATGAGAGATCGAGAAAGTGCAGCTGGTATCGTGTATCTATTCTGCGGAAAATGAGCATTGGAAGCATTTCAGATACTTCAGTATGGATAAAAAACAATATTTGACAACACTACATTGCGTTATTTCAGACGCCTTTTTAAAAGACTAGTTGAAAAATGTATTATCAATATCAACCCGCTAAAGTGTGTTGCATTTGGTGGGTGTTAATGTCAATCCCTGGATACAATGCTGCATATTATATTGTATTTTACCTGTTTCTGAATGAAATTCACATTTGTAATAGGTGCTAATGTCTTGATAGTAAAGCTCTTTGGTACTGCTCTGGGTTTTACTGTAAGTTTGTATATAGAGGCGCTATGTGAAATTCAGTCAAATTGAATAGGAATGTCAAGATCCACCTGCAATGATATGGGATTTCTGCTGGAGTGACAGTCTCACTCATCTTGCTGCAAAGTTGGTAGTAACTTTATGCGTTGCGTTGGCCGCATTAACACTGCACTCACACCCAGAGGAGACCTTCCATCTGCTCCTTGTTTATAGAAGCTCCACTTTGGTTAGCAGTCAAGTCCCCAGATGGGAGACACATGGTAGATTTAAAAATTCTTGTGTGCTACTTTTTCGATTGAAGATTTGCTCACTTTAATGAAGATCTGCTTTACTCTTTAAAAAGTGTTGATACCTCAAGTTGTTTTAATGTTGGTGGAAAACTGCCATCAGAGCTTTCACCTGTTATTCTCCCCTCTGTGTTAATAATGTTTGTTTTTAAAATGTCGCCATGTCCCTTACTTATCGGAAATCATTGAAGGCCTTTATTCCTCCGACTTCCTTCAAGTGATAACAGTGCAACACGAGCTTTCAAACATGCTTGACTCCTGGCGATCCTGTGTGTAAGTGTGGATGTTATTGGCAGAGGGAGAAGATGGACTATGTTTAGCTCAAGTTATGGTTCATGGTGTCAAGGGAGGATGGGGCATTTTAGCGGACAGGCTTGTTCTAAACTTTAGGTTGGGTTAGTTAGTATTAGAGAAAACAAAAATGGTCTGACAGTGACAGTAAAGACATTTATAATATTACAAAAGATTTCTATTTCAAATATATGCTGTTCTTTTGAACTTTTTATTTATCAAAGAATCCTGAAAAAAATGCTTCACTTTTATTTTGGATCAAATAAATGCAACACACCGACCCCAAATATTTTTATTCCTCAGTAGAGACTCAATTAAGAAGGCCAATCACTTTATTAATAGTTGTTTATTAATTGTTGTTAGTTGTACAGAACCCATCTCTCTGCTCTCTCACAAAGTTGTTCAGTGCTGGATGTTCTGAGTTCTTTTGGCATGTGTCCCTTACGGTATCAGTTCACACTAAGGGCCCATTTATCCAGGAGGTTTTTGCATTTAAATACATGACGCGGGGCAGTGGAATGAAAAGCAAGGTCTAAAAATGCGTCCTTCTAAGATCTTTTCTTTAAACTTGAGCGCCACGTTTTTAGAACACCGTGTCATTCAGGAGAAACCGCATGCAAATGATGCGAGGCTCGAACGCAATGGTCAAACATGTCTGTCTAGTGCATGTTTACATTTAAGAACTATTGAAAAGCAGTGCACTGAAATGCAAAAACAGATTCTGTGTGAACAGCCCTTTAAAGTAAGATGCAGTCGGTAGCGTTTAGCAGCTCTCCTTTACCAGTCATGCTCTTCATTAGTCTTTTGTTCTTTTTGTATATTATTTGGTGTTTTCTTTGAATCAGATTATCTTGTCTTGTTGTTTCCCCATTTATTGGCGTGCCTGCGGTAGGGCTTGATGAAGTATGCAGGAAATGAAAGAATGTGAGAGATTGAAGTTGCTGCCAAGACTGGCACGAGTCTTTACTGCAAAATGTGAAGACAGAGGGAGAGTAGACAGACTTCAGCTCTACGCTGGTTAAATCAATGCTGGGTCAACTTGTATAGTGGAAGAGATGTGTGGTTGTTGAGAAGTTCAAATGTGAGAAACCGTTTTTGCTTCAGTTTTATGTCTTTCTCACGAGGTTCAGGACCCTAATGATGTTTTAGTACATGTGTCGAATCATCATGACAAAGTCCCTTTGACTGTCTCAGTGTAAATGTTTAAAGGGATAGTTCACCTAAAAGGAAATTCTAAAAACCCTCATTTCATTCCAAACCTGTAAGACATTTGTTCATCTTCAGAACACAAATGAAGATCTTTATAAAGAAAGCTGACCTCTCTTTGAAGATGAGTTCATCAATTTAAAGCTTGGTTGAAAATCAAAGGTTTTGTGAAGCTTTTGGATAAAAGGCAGCTGTGTCCTGTCCTGCTGTATATGATCAGGAAGGTAGTAGCGATATTTTAGAAAAGACAGGCAAAACTATATAAAATATATTGTAGCTAAGTTTGACTTTCATGGAAAAATACATTGGTTGAATATAATATAGCTAAGTTTGATTTGAAAGAGAATTACTTTAGGTCAGGTCAATGTAGCCAAATTGGGGTCTGAGGTAAATCATATTGGTTCAATGTGATTGTGATAATTCCAATAGAAACAGTTTGGTTACATCCAACAAACATGATACAGCTTTATTAATGCAATGATTTGATGTGGAAATGTGCCACATGATTAAAATACATTCAACTGATTAGGTATTATTTTGTGCGTAGTGAATTGTTTGTATGCGGCATGTGCTTGATAAACGGTGCAAGGTTTTCTCAGTGGAGGGATCGGTGTAGTCTGTGTTTGGTTACAGTATTCAGTTTCATTCAGTCTTAGTAACCTTTATCAGTCCCTTTCCTCCATGGCTATTTTGAGAGGTGCCTTATGTCACATCAAATCCACATCTAAAATTTGACAGCGCCGCATGGCTTCACACACACTGAGCAGGTTGTATAATATTTGTTGCTATTTTGAAATGTTTAGTAAACCCATCAGCTTCCATGACTGACCGTTTAAGGACAGACCGTGTGGATTAACTTTAAGTAGGGAAGGTTTCATGGCTTATTAAGAGAGTGTGTCTTTAAAATGTTAGTTTCCCTTAACCAAACTCTGCATTATTGGGATAAAGTCTATAGCTCACAACTGTTTTCATGTTATGGACGATATCAAAAGTCTATACTATTTTGACTAAATAAATTAAAAATAAAACGCTAATATCAAAATCAATTGTTTGAAATGCTCTACTGTTCAATAGTTTGGGGTAAGTGTTGGTTTCTTTTTTTTATTTTATTTAATTTTAATTTTAATTCTTTTTATTTTAAATAAGTCTCTTCTATGCTCCCTAAAACCTCATTTTATTTGATCAAAAATACTGTAAGACAGTAATATTTTTAAATATTGTAACAATTTAAAATAACCTTTTTCTATTTTAATACACTGTAAATAGGGCTGTTCTATAAAATAATTATTGTGATCTAATTTAATTTTCCTCGATAAAAGTTCGATAAATATTCAATGTAATATACGCCAAAAGCAGAACAAAACAGCGCTACTCGTTTGAACCGTGCCACACGGACCATTTATCAGCTCAGCTCAAACGGCGAACCTGAATTTTCAAAAGTCATTATTTCAGTGTCACATGATCCTTCTGAAATCATTCTAATATTCTGCTTTAGTGCTCAATAGACATTTCTTAATATTATCAATGCTGCAAACAGTTGTGCTGCTTAATATTTGTTTGGAAACTGTGATTTTTTTTTTTCCAGGATTCATAGATGAATAGAAAGTTCAAACGAACAGCCTTTATTTGAAATTGAATTTTTTTTTAAACAATGTAAGTCTTTCCTGTCACGTTTAATTTAATGCATTCTTGTTCGATAAATTATTTCTTTAAAAAAAATCGTACTAACTCCAAACTTCCGAACAGTAGTGTATTTAGTAGACTAAACGGCATGTTTCAAAGATTGTGCATCATCTATCAGAGGTTGCTCAAAAATCCAGCCAATCAGACTAGAGCTGGCCAGATCAGAAAGTACTTGCAGTTTTTGTGCATAGTATGCATCAGAAAGTTACACCTTTTATTCCATATACACAAAAGGGCTAAAAGAACAAAGGAGTCAGAGAAATGAAAGGAAGAGTGAATCCAGCCGCTCTTTATATCCGGCCCAAGGCTGTCACAATCCATCATCTGTAAGCACCATATGTGAACATGACAGTGTATATTTAACCTAAGAATGCTTAAGGGGGATTGTGTACATGTGAGAGTGGGATATGGGGGCAAACAGATGCATGTTGATGGTAGATAGGGATCTGCAGGCAATACTCTGGAAAATATCACTCGGTTCACTCAGTGATCGGTGTGTGAGTGAGCACGGTTATGTTCCTTGAGACCTGTCATTGTAATTTGATCATTGGATTACTGATATGTTAGTTGCCATGGCGTCCTCACGCATGATTAGGTTACCATGCGTCTGTCCTTGATGCTGGAAAGTACAGTAGCACTTTTCTGTGTAATGTGTGATCAGATCAAGTCTGTCACAAATGCTATTGATTAACAGTACCACAGTTTTCAACATGTGTGTGATTTCAATCCCTGTGTGCTAACAATCTCATTCTCTCTTTTTGCAGCCGTGCGGACACAGCAAGAGAGAGATGTGGATCCACTTACAGTCTGTCTTCTGAATAACGCACGGACAGATTGAGCCATGACGGAACGGGATGGCCGTTGTGATTTGTCCATCGCCCCGGGGCAGGTATATATCGAGGTGGAGTTCGATTATGAGTACAAGGCGAAAGACAAACTCATCTCCATACGGCAGGGCGAATGCTACCAGTTGGTTCGTAAAACCAACGAGGACTGGTGGCAAGTTCGGCGGGAGGAGGGCACCAAGGCTTTTTATGTCCCCGCTCAGTACGTCCGAGAGGTCCGACGTGCCCTTATGCCACCGCCCAAACCTCGCGCAAAGCCCCCCAACGTCCTTGAAATCAGCCAGTGCCGATCGTCGAATGAAAATCTCAACCAACGCGCTCCTACGGAAAGGTCCAGCTTTGGCAGGCCACCTCCTTCAACGACACCTTCCCCATTGCCAGGGCAACTGACCCCGCCTTTGTTGATGCGGGACACCAATCAGAACCCGGGGATGAAGAGCGTTGTTGCCGAGCTGACTCTGCTCAACAACAACAACCATCATAACTATCACCATGGCAACCCCACACTTCCACGAGGGCGGGCGGAATCCCCTCCACGAGAGCATGGTTGCCAGGGGAAACTCCCAGGTGTGTTGACGGTGGACACGGAAGGGAGCGTGTCACCAGGAAATGGGTTGGAGAAAATGAGAAATGACTCTGAATCTGGAGATGAGCTCAGCAGCAGCTCTACCGAACACATGCAGGTAAGAACGAGTGACATTCGCCCTCCTCCTTCCTCTCCCACGCATTTGTTCTCTCTCCCTCTCCCTCCCAAACTTACTCATGTTCTGCCTTTATCTCTTTCGATGTCGTCTTTGGCTTTCATTCTCTACATTTCAAGCACTTATCTTTGCCAGAAATGCTCCTTTTCATCCTTTGACTGTCATTATCTGCTGTTCCAGCAATTACTACTAGACTAATCTAACATTTGCTCCTCACTTCTTCCCCTTTATCCCTCCTTCGGTTTTACCTCTGACATTTACGGTTGCACGTCGTCTTTTCTGTCAGATTAAATTGGTTTCAGCAGTGTTTTTCTCTCCTCTTCCTGCGTTCCTTCCTTTCCGCCGTGTGAGACTTGTTTAGCAGGAGATGCAGTCTGTCCTCTGCTATGGTGATGGAAATTGTGGCCACCTCTCAGGGTTTGATTAAGACAGTAGAGACGTCAGACTCATTGAGATCACAAAATGCAACACTTGTTGGGCTTTTTACAGAGTCGTTTCTGAATTTAAAAAGTTGCTTGTATTAGTCTACAATCTCTGAATGCACGGTACATTATGTGTGTATCGTATAATATATTATATGTGTGGGTGTGCATTTATGTAATGTATGTATTAAAATATGTGTATATGTAATATATATAATAAATGTGAAATTAGTGAATGAATAATTTTAATAATATATTTATTTAAGTGTAATTGTAATAATAAATATTAATAATAATATAAAACAATTGTTCTATATTAACAATCATAAATATATCAAAAATATTTTATATTGTGTTTTAGTATTTTAGTTGTATTTATTAATAGTGTAGCATAGATTAAAAATACAATATAACAAAGTTACAAGTAAAGTAAGGTCTAACTGTAGTATTCAGGTACAGAAGTGAAATAATTTGGCCTAAATGTAAAATAACACTATAGTGTTAAATGGATACTCCACTTTTTTTGGAAATAGGCTCATTTTACAACTCCCCCAGACCAGAGTTAAAGGAGAACTCCGGCGCAAAATGAACCTTTGGTCTAATTACACATTGTTACCTAGTCAACCGTTATCTGAGATTTGTTTTCATGATTATCGAATGTAAATAGTTTTATCTCTAAAAACAGTTTAGCCTATAAAGCTAGTATAACGCTAGTATATTGGGCATAGATCAATGACAAATAAAAATCGCTTGTTAATACCACTAACAAGGCTCAAAATAGCCCCACACTAACACGGTAGCATAATGAGGGTCCCTACCTTCAAACCGAAGCATTGAGAACTTTGTCAGTGTCCAGACAGTTTAATAAGAAGATATTTAATACATACAGTCAACTTCGCGTATACAGGCAGGAGCCATCTTTGAAATACAGCCTTTACCAGTCGATCTACGAACGCCGATCCAAGCCTGCTGTTCGCGCTCACCTTATCACAACTCATAGCTCGTTCACATTCTCACCAGCGCACTTGGATCGGCGTTCGTAGATCGACTGGTAGAGACTGTATTTCAAAGATGGCTTCTGCCTGTTTACGCGAAGTTGACTGTATGTATTAAAAATCTTCTTATTAAACTGTCTGGACACTGACAAAGTTCTCAATGCTTCGGTTTGAAGGTAGGGACCCTCATTATGCTACCGTGTTAGTGTGGAGCTATTTTGAGCCTTGTTAGTGGTATTAACAAGCGATTTTTATTTGTCATTGATCTATGCCCAATATACTAGCGTTATACTAGCTTTATAGGCTAAACTGTTTTTAGAGATAAAACTATTTACATTCGATAATCATGAAAACAAATCTCAGATAACGGTTGACTAGGTAACAATGTGTAATTAGACCAAAGGTTCATTTTGCGCCGGAGTTCTCCTTTAAACTGTTGAGTTTTACAGTTTTTGAATCCATTCAGTCGATCTCCGGTTCTGGCGGTACCACTTTTAGCATAGCTTAGCAGACATCATTGGAGTGGACAAGACCATTAGCATTTCTAAAAAAAAAATGACCAAAGAGTTTCGATATTTTTCCTATTTAAAACTTGACTCTTCTGTAGTTACATCGTGCACTAAGACCGACGGAAAAGGTAAAGTTGCGATTTTCTAGGCTGATATGGCTAGGAACTATACTCTCATTCCTGCGTAATAATCAAGAAACTTCACTGCCGTACCATGAGTGCAGCAGGTGTAATGATATGACGCAGCGCCTGAAAATAGGCCACCTTCCGTCAACACAACGGAACTATTTTCAGGCGCTGCGTCATATCATTGCGCCTGCTGCTCTCATGGTACGGCAGTGAAGTTTCTTGATTATTACGCAGGAATGAGAGTATAGTTCCTAGCCATATCAGCCTAGAAAATCGCAACTTTACATTTTCCGTCGGTCTTAGTGCACGTTGTAACTACAGAAGAGTCAAGTTTTAAATAGGAAAAATATCAAAACTCTTTGGTCATTTTTTTTTTAGAAATGCTAATGGTCTTGTCCACTCCAATGATGTATGCTAAGCTATGCTAAAAGTGGTACCGCCAGAACCGGAGATCGGCTGAATGGATTCAAAAACGGTAAAACTCAACAGTTTAACTCTGGGGGAGTTATAAAATGAGCCTATATCCAAAAAAAGTGGAGTATCCCTTTAACACTATATAAATGAAATATAGATTAATATTTGTTAAAGCTATATATATATATTTTTTTTAAAGCTGTGCTTTGTTGTTTGATTGTTAACATTAATGACACAGACAACAGCAGGTATATTAGGCTGCTGTCACTTTAAGACCTGATGCACAGATACAATATAATGATACACATCCGATTTCTTTCTCAACTGTTTACGTTCAATTAAGACATAATGACTGTGTTTACGAGAATACTTGCCAAGATGGATATTTTGACACAATTTTGTGTGTATGTGTTCGTTCAGGTGCAAGGAGATGCGAAAGAGAAATGAATTCAGTGATCAAGCGCTATCTGAAACGCGCCTCTCTGTGGCTACGTTTACACGTGGCCGGTTATTTTCATAAAGGGACATTTCACCCTCCGTTTTCAAAAATAACATCGTGCACACCTGTCAGTTTTCAGAAAAGTGTTCGTTTACTCTCGAACCCGTGTATATATGCCGTCAACAGCATGACAAACCTGTAGGTGGTAGTGTAACGAGAGGCTCAAGCCCACGTTAGTCAATCGAACGAATCGATTCGCAAGGTCGCACTTTTGACGCAGGTGCAAGTTCTGTCGCATACTGTGACGTCGGCTGCCTAAACTGCAGTTTTCTCAGTTTACATGCAAACGTGCAAACGAAGTTTTCTAAAATCTCCACTCTGGCCGGAGTTTTTAGAAAGAATCGTTTTCAGACGCGAATTCTCTGTTTGTGTGTAAACGAAGGGCACAAACGAAGGGAAATGTCTCCGTTTGTCAAAATGACCATGTACGTGTAAACGGGGCCTGTGTGTGCACGCTTTCACTCTACAATATTAAAAATGAAAGCTATATTTTTTGATGTAATACACAAATAGGAGATTTTGAAGACTTATTTTGAGCAAATTGAAACATGAAACACATGCATTATGTTTAATCCACTACTTGGGTGTCAAGGGGCTCTGCAGTTTGGGGAGTCCACACAGTAATATGTACTAAGTAGTTTCTGAGTGATTGAGCTTTTTGAGTGTCCCAGGGTGCATCATGTGGAGTTGGGTGTTTAGTCTTTGTTACTATCCTCCTCCCCCATTTCTCTCTCTCTCTCTCTCTCTCTTTCTATGAAACAGGGTGCTGCTGGGGGAACAAAGGGGATTGTGGGAGAATAGAAAGTAGGTCATATCTGACTAGATCATACTGTTGCCCCCGTTTTGTATGTGTGAGTGAGATGGAAAGATGCGCATTTAGATTTTGGTATCCATAAGATCATCATTGTTAACAATAAGGACAATAAGCATGAGTAAACCTGTAGCTTGTCATGTATATTGAGCTGATCTTCTGGAATGCCACATTGAGTGGATCTATTATTACTTATCTTGGTTGACAACATCAAGAAGATTTCTAGCCTCTTGCTGTCAAATAATGAGAATAATCATGATGCTTCTCAAAGTCAGGTTCTAACCATGCGCACACATACAGTATATGGGCTTAAAAGAACATACAGTACTCTGGGCTTTTGAGGGATTTGTCCATGTCAGGCTTTGTCCATTAGGGTCAGCTGCTAATACTAAACCATGTGATTACTTAATCAGCCCTTTAACAACTATCCCTTACAAAGAATATCTGGCCTCCAAATTTCATTAAACTTCTGCTATGTATGATGTTTGGTTTAAAGAAGGAGTTCACCATTACTGAGCCTCATGGTTCCATACCCTTAAAAACACAAAATATCATAAGTCTTGTGAAGCCATAAAATAACATTGTATTTTATTGTAACTAAGAAATTTGCTGAAAATGTCCCCCTCTTCCAAATGTCCCGTCTGCCCATGAAAGTGATTGTTTTCAGTTAATAACCAAGAAAATAATTATTTTATGTTTCTAACACAAAATAGCCTTTAAGACCTAAATGTATTGGATATATTTTATAGACAAAGAGAAGTGTGAACAGTCTTCTGTTCTTTGGAGTAAAATGTAGTTTAGCATTTATAAATATTTTGAATTAGCTTTTATTTTTAATCAGTTTTCATTTTAAGTTGTTAGTATTTTTAGTTAGCTTTAATGCATTTTTATTTCAGTTTTAGTAATTTTAGTATTTCAACTTGAACTTATTTTATTTCAGTTAGTTGCTAATAGGGGTGGGAATCTCTAGGCACCTCACGATTCGATTCGATTACGATTCAGAGGGCTGCGATTCGATGCTAAATCGATTATCAGAATCTTTTTTTTGTGTGTGTGTGACTATAAATACTTTGCTTTAAAAGTACAAAGTAATGACCCATAAAGAATTAACGTACAATATATTTTATTAACATTGCAAAGAACCAACAGGAAAATACATGTGTGTCTGAACTAGCAGCAGCATATTTGTAGTAAATTAATAATA